GGCGAGATAGATTTCTTTTACGTACCAAATAGTTCATGGTTAATTGTAAGGCTAATACCTAGTATTATTTCTTCTTTAGGGTAATACAGGTGTTTCTTCATTACGAGACTGCAACGGCATCTGTAATGGGACCGCTCAAAATGCCACATGTGGAGTCTGCCTCATGCCAGGGGCTGTGAACCCTGCCTTGGATTGTAACAACGACTGTCGCGGAACCGCAACTGAAGATGAATGCGGTGTTTGCACTGGGGGAAGTACCGGTCTAATGGCTAACTACCTAAAGGATGCCTGTGGTAGGCCTCCCAAAGTTTTTTTTAACCAATGTTATTTTTATTAAGGCTAGCTTTAGACAATGTAACTTATTATGCTGAAAATGATATATCTGAGAGTGCGCAAGACTCATTCCTCGTCTCCCATTTCAAAATGAGAATGCCAATATCGCATTCAACATTGCATGAAACATTGGAAAGGAGGAGTGCGGTTATAAAAACCTTTTATTTGTGAGAATTTTACCACCGAGGCGCACTGAAGTTCGTATATCGAGAGGGCACTTCCTAGGTCTAAGATAGGGAACGGTTTTGTGTTGCATTGGGTGTGGATCGTAGAAGACGCAACCTCTGCCTTTATTCTGTCGTGTTTTGAAAAGCCGGCTTTGATTACTTTGAATTCCTGAATGTAAATGATAGCATTGGGTTCGGGATTGCTGTGGACATGTATTAGAATTTGCTTACCGCAGCATGTGGCAATGAATATTGGGACAGGCCATACAGGCTATGCAAAAGGGAACAGGAAATCGTATATTTGAGTCTAAAGTGGTGTACGCAAAACCATGGAAGTCATGAAACGTGGAGCATAAAATCATTTAATGATTTTATATGGCCGAAAGGCCATTCAGTTTTCCATCACTGAATTCGACCACTCGGACCTTGGTCGGAAAATCAGCAGGGCACTAAAGAATCTCCTCAGGAGTTTAGTAAACTTTATCTCTCTATCAAAAGTCGTTCGCGCTTCCGAATGATATGTGTCGCAGCCACAAGACTGATAGTCCAAAATGAGTCAGTGTACTTGTCATAAAATAGTGTAAAAAGGTTCAATAGGAACATTTTTTAACGGTTTCCCCCGTAGCCCAGATCTTGGAGGCATTCGACGGAATATTCCAATAAATCTCCTTTAGCATTACTTTTTCGTGATTTCATTTGATTTTGGTATCTAAGGAAAATCGAAGAACATAGATTTGTCTTAAGTCCCTTGCCAGAAGTAGAATTTTTTCAATGAAAAGTAATCTTTATATAAGTGATGTCACTGGTGCATTGCAATCAATGATTACTGTACATAACTACCTGCTGTTCCCGCGCCTATTTCTTGAATACTTATTGATGTTTTAGGTGTATGCAATGGAACTAATACGACGTGCGCGGGGTGTGATGGCATACCACACAGTGGTAAGGAATTCGATGCATGCCGTGTGTGCGATGGTGATGGCTCAACTTGCACCGACATCGTGAAAACTGAACCGAAAACCATCTCAAGCTGCCATCCTAATGTTTTGGTATTTGGTGCTGGTCTTAATTCTGGTGATCACACATTATGCGTGTTATACAACGACACTAGCGGGGAAATGGTCGTCAACACCACAGGTAATACAAACCCTTGACATAAGCTTATCAATGCAGACAATGCGAAAAGCGACTTGCTTTGTTAAATAGGTTGATAAGATGAACACAGAGTGGTCTATGAGTTAAAAAAAAGATAAATCAAGTGCTGAGCCTGTTTCACCAGCTGTAATTCATTGTGTTCACCATTGTCAAAGTTGCATAACAACAGAGATTAAGAGTCACGTTTACGGCAAAACGACAAACTCAAGCTGACAATTTCTTAAAATAGAAAATGAGGAGATAAAAACGTTCTAAAAAATTCTTATGAATGAAAATTGCGTGAAACTAATTTTTTTATATAAAGTGTTGTGAAGTATTTTGAAAGTTATTTTTAATACGGATTTATCTTATATTTCAAGTTTAGTTTTTGTTTCATTAAGTCTTGTTTTTGTCCACGTACTGTTTTCCTGTTTTGATCTTTTGTTTTTACTCGCACTTGAATTTATGCTTAGCCCACGAATTTACTTATTGCCGTATTAGGAATTTTATTCGCTTAGAACTGCCAGATGTTAGTTTTCAGGTGGTCGTGTTTGTGGTGTTAGAGCTGACCTTCGTTCTTTGGTACTTATCAGTTGCGGCTGTGTGTAGGCTAGTCTATTCCCTAACAATAGCAAACCTGTTGCAATGTTAGCGATAACATATACAATAGAAACTCTTCCGGTCAGCTAACCCAAACATGGCCAGCTTTGGCTTTTAAAACCGCTACTATACTTGAACTAGTGGGAGAAGTAGAGTAGAAGTAGGAGTAGTAGAGTAAGTAGAATTTGTAGGAAGATTAAGAAGAATAAAGGCCAAGATGTAAATCAGATTCCTGGTACCTCATTGTGTAGCAAGCGAGTTGCTCGAACACACCCCCACATATTTTCGTGGAGAACCCGGGCAACGATCCCGGTACCTCTCGCAAAAAGGTTTAAGACAAGTAAGGGGAAAACTTGGTCACGTGGCACAATTAACTATTGCCATTTACCGTACAGGTCACTCCCTATTCAGTGTCTTTTACCTTCGAAACCTGAAAACGCGCTCAAACAAATGCAGCAAAAGGTTAAAAGGTCCTTAAAATATTACCACCCTGACCACATTCCGATCCTAGGGGGAGAAATGAGAAATGGATGCAGAAAATTATTCCAGCACATGTTCACTTCTGTGAAAAACCACATTAGCGTCTGTCGATCAGACAGCATTGAGAAATCTTGCTCTTGTAGCTGTTGCATTTCTTACAAGAAATATCGCCAAGATAGCTACAAGACCTTCAGAGCGAGCATACACTCTCCCCTTCCTAGAACAACATAACACAAACTCGGAAGAATAAATCCAAATAAATTCTTGATCCGTCTGCAGATCTTCTTAGATAGTAGAACTTCAGAACGGGTATACACTTCCTCCTTCCTAGAACAACACAACGCAAACTAGTTCAAAAAAGGAAGAAGCGATCCAAATAAACACTTAGCCTGTCAGCCAATCATAGATCTGCATACTAAGTAAAATCACCAATCAAATGAATTCTTGCAGTCTACGTTAAGTGCATCTAAATAAGCTTTATTTATACAATTTATTGTACATTGGTTAAGAGAATTTGGGTTTCTATCAATAGCGCTTCCTCGAGCTGATACCATTGCCTATTCTCATCATCTTTCTGCTCGACAGTGTATTGATATTATTAGGTGAAGTTAATTAGATGCTGATCAAATTACTTCTGGGAGTTAAAGGGGAAGGTGCGGTTTCAACATATGACATTAAAGAAGTTTCCTTTCTGTTTCAGCAACTTCAACAAATCTCACGCATGCGCAATGTGAGTTTCAACCATGGGGTGATTATATTCCTGGCAGGTATAACCTATCTGTTATAATAACACAGAGTGGTCAAGCAGACGTTAAAACCAACACATCTCTTCAGATTTATTACTACAGTTGTACAGATCTCTCGCTGACGGGTGTCGTACCAAACGAAGTTCTTCTGGATGAGCTTCCTCGATACGTCACCCTAGAAGGCAGCGGTTTCTTCGACTGGGAAGAGACAGTGTGTTATTTTGGTCCCCACGTTTATTTCTTCTTTAGGGTAATACAGGTGTTTCTTCATTACGAGACTGCAACGGCATCTGTAATGGGACCGCTCAAAATGCCACATGTGGAGTCTGCCTCATGCCAGGGGCTGTGAACCCTGCCTTGGATTGTAACAACGACTGTCGCGGAACCGCAACTGAAGATGAATGCGGTGTTTGCACTGGGGGAAGTACCGGTCTAATGGCTAACTACCTAAAGGATGCCTGTGGTAGGCCTCCCAAAGCTTTTTTTAACCAATGTTATTTTTATTAAGGCTAGCTTTAGACAATGTAACTTATTATGCTAAAAATGATATATCTGAGAGTGCGCAAGACTCATTCCTCGTCTCCCATTTTCAAAATGAGAATGCCAATATCGCATTCAACATTGCATGAAACATTGGAAAGGAGGAGTGCGGTTATAAAAACCTTTTATTTGTGAGAATTTTACCACCGAGGCGCACTGAAGTTCGTACATCGAGAGGGCACTTCCTAGGTCTAAGATAGGGAACGGTTTTGTGTTGCATTGGGTGTGGATCGTAGAAGACGCAACCTCTGCCTTTATTCTGCCGTGTTTTGAAAAGCCGGCTTTGATTACTTTGAATTCCTGAATGTAAAGGATAGCATTGGGTTCGGGGTTGCTGTGGACATGCATTAGAGTTTGCTTACTGCAGCATGTGGCAATGAATATTGGGACAGGCCATACAGGCTATGCAAAAGGGAACAGGAAATCGCATATTTGAGTCTAAAGTGGTGTACGCAAAACCATGGAAGTCATGAAACGCGGAGCATAAAATCATTTAATGATTTTATATGGCCGAAAGGCCATTCAGTTTTCCATCACTGAATTCGACCACTCGGACCTTGGTCGGAAAATCAGCAGGGCACTAAAGAATCTCCTCAAGAGTTTAGTAAACTTTATCTCTCTATCAAAAGTCGTTCGCGCTTCCGAATGATATGTGTCGCAGCCACCAGACTGATAGTCCAAAATGAATCAGTGTACTTGTCATAAAATAGTGTAAAAAGGTTCAATAGGAACATTTTTAACGGGTTCCCCTGTAGCCCAGATCTTGGAGGCATTCGACGGAATATTCCAATAAATCTTCTTTAGCATTACTTTTTCGTGATTTCATTTGATTTTGGTATCTAAGGAAAATCGAAGAACATGGATTTGTCCTAAGTCCCTTGCCAGAGGTAGAATTTTTTCAATGAAAAGTAATCTTTATATCAGTGATGTCACTGGTGCATTGCAATCATATGATTACTGTACATAACTACCCGCTGTTCCCGCGCCTATTTCTTGAATACTTATTGATGTTTTAGGTGTATGCAATGGAACTAATGCGACGTGCGCGGGGTGTGATGGCGTACCACACAGTGGTAAGGAATTTGATGCATGCCGTGAGTGCGATGGCGATGGCTCAACTTGCACCGACATCATGAAAACTGAACCGAAGACCATCTCAAGCTGCCATCCTAATGTTTTGGTATTTGGTGCTGGTCTTAATACTGGTGATCACACATTATGCGTGTTATACAACGACACTAGCGGGGAAATGGTAGTCAACACCACAGGTAATACAAACCCTTGACATAAGCTTATCAGTGCAGACAATGCGAAAAGCGACTTGCTTTGTTACGTAGGTTGATAAGATGAACACAGAGTGGACTATGAATTTAAAAAAAAAGATAAATGAAGTGCTGAGCCTGTTTCACTAGCTGTAATTCATTGTGTTCACCATTGTCAAAGTTGCATAGCAATAGAGATTAAGAGTCACGTTTACGGCAAAACGACAAACTCAAGCTGACAATTTCTTAAAATAGAAAATGAGGAGATAAAAACGGTCTAAAAAATTCTTATGAACGAAAATTGCGTGAAACTAATTTTTTTATATAAAGTGTTGTGAAGTATTTTGAAAGTTATTTTTAATACGGATTTATCTTATATTTTAAGTTTAGTTTTTGTTTCATTAAGTCTTGTTTTTGTCCAAGTACTGTTTTCCTGTTTCGATCTTTTGTTTTTACTTGTACTTGAATTTATGCTTAGCTCACGAATTTACTTATTGCCATATTAGGAATTTTATTCGCTTAGAACTGCCAGATGTTAGTTTTCAGGTGGTCGTGTTTGTGGTGTTAGAGCTGACCTTCGTTCTTTGGTACTTATCAGTTGCGGCTGTGTGTAGGCTAGTCTATTCCCTAACAATAGCAAACCTGTTGCAATGTTAGCGATAACATATACAATAGAAACTCTTCCGGTCAGCTAACCCAAACATGTCCAGCTTTGGCTTTTAAAACCGCTACTATACTTGAACTAGTGGGAGAAGTAGAGTAGAAGTAGGAGAAGTAGAGTAAGTAGAAGTTGCAAGAAGATTAAGAAGAATAAGGGCCAAGATGTAAATCAGATTCCTGGTACCTCACTGTGTAGCAAGCGAGTTGCTCGAATACACCCCCACATATTTTCGTGGAGAACCCGGGCAACGATCCCGGTACCTCTCGCAAAAAGGTTTAAGACAAGTAAGGGGAAAACTTGGTCACGTGGCACAATTAACTATTGCCATTTACCGTACAGGTGACTCCCTATTTAGTGTGTATTGCCTTCGAAACCTGAAAACCCGCTCAACCATATGCAGCAAAAGGTTAAAAGGTCCTTAAAATATTACCACCCTGACCACATTCCGATCCTAGCGGGAGAAATGAGAAATGGATGCAGAAAATGTTTCAGCACATGTTCACTTCTGTGAAAAACCACATTAGCGTCTGTCGATCAGACAGCATTGAGAAATCTTGCTGTTCTAGCTGTTGCATTTCTTACAAGAAATATCGCCAAGATAGCTACAAGACCTTCAGAGCGAGCATACACTCTCCCCTTCCTAGAACAACATAACACAAACTAGGAAGAATAAATCCAAATAAATTCTTGATCCGTCTGCAGATCCTTTTAGATAGTAGAACTTCAGAACGGGTATACACTTCCTCCTTCCTAGAACAACACAACGGAAACTAGTTCAAAAAAGGAAGAACCGATCCAAATAAACACTTAGCCTGTCAGCCAATCATAGATCTGTTTACTAAGTAAAATCACCAATCAAATGAATTCTTGCAGTCTACGTTAAGTGCATCTAAATAAGCTTTATTTTAACCCTTTGACTCTCAAGATAGTAACTCTCCTTTCTGACTTGCTATACAATTTATTGTACATTGGTTAAGAGAATTTGGGTTTATATCAATAGCGCTTCCTCGAGCTGATACAATTGCCTATTCTCATCATCTTTCTGCTGGACAATGTATTGATATTATTAGGTAAGGTTAATTAGATGCTGATCAAATTACTTCTGGGAGTTAAAGGGGAAGGTGCGGTTTCAACATATGACATTAAAGAAGTTTCATTTCTGTTTCAGCAACTTCAACAAATCTCACGCATGCGCAATGTGAATTTCAACCATGGGCTGATTATATTCCTGGCAGGTATAACCTATCTGTTATAATAACACAGAGTGGTCAAGCAGACGTTAAAACCAACACATCTCTTCAGATTTATTACTACAATTGTACAGATCTCTCGCTGACGGGTGTCGTACCAAACGAAGTTCTTCTGGATGAGCTTCCTCGATACGTCACCCTAGAAGGCAGCGGTTTCTTCGACTGGGAAGAGACAGTGTGTTATTTTGGTCCCCACGTGACCACTGATGTGGTCTTTGTAGACACGTCGCACCTTCAGTGTAAGGTAGGTGGACTTGCAGCTATCGGGCAGTTTGTTTGTTAGTTATTCAATTTTATTGTTGGCGGCAAGAGGAACCAGCAATCATTCTCGTCACCATGCAGAGCCTTCAGAACTTATCTCCAAGTTGCTATGCATGCACGGCACATATGTAGACCGCTTTGTTTGGGCTTCCACTAAGAATGAATGGAATAGACAGAATGAACAAACGCAATCTGATGAAACGGATTTGAACTTTCTATCATTCGTAATCTGATCATTCGTGTTTTGACTATCCACCACCTGAAAGTTACGCAAAGTTCAGCGTTAGAGCAAAGCGTTTTGAAATTCGATAATTGACGCCCGCACACCGTAATATTTGGTTATTATTCGTTCGACTTTGTTTTTTGATCCGATCGAAGTTACGAGAAAAAACTACCCATTTATAGGCCCTGAGGTTTTAGAACTCTCTATGATCTTCTATAAATGGTAATATAAATTAATTTGACATGTCGGGCGAAAGGCAATGAAAGCGTAAAGCGATCGAGAGCATTCCTGAATATTGACGCGAAATGAGTGGGCGCTTACCTGGGAAAAGGGAATCGCTGGACTCTTTGACAACCCGTGAAATCAGTTTAACTCGAAGTTGTCGTAATCTCAGTGCTTTAATAAAATGAGAAATTTCGCCGGTCTATTGAAACCGGTCGTTTGTACAATAAAGCAAGTAGGACGCCAAGTGTTATTTTTGTTGTATAAAAAAAAAATAAAAGAATAAATATCAAACCACAAATTGCTCTCTTCAAACTGTAAATTATAAAAGATCCTGAGAGAATATTCAGTGTGTTAAGGATTTCCCTGCTGTACTCTTAGCTCTATACAACAGAGGAAGGGCGATTCTTTTTTAACTTCCGTTTCGCTGACCCAGCTTTAGCAGAAATCTCTCTGTAGTCGTTTTCGTCGACAAAACGAATAGCAATATCGCCCTCCGCGTCTTCCGCCATTTTGTTCTGCGTCAATTCGTGAAGGACGCGTGGCTCTAAGCGTGGATCATCCACGCGGAACACATTCGCGCTATGTGATTGGCTGTTGTCTAATCCCCCTTGGGATCTGTGGTCTTAAAAATAACTAGAGACGAATTACCTATGGAATAGGGTGTGTATGGGAAATGCCTTCTCTGTTCCCTTTATCCTCTCTTGGTTAAATTTCATATAAATTTTCGGAAAAATAATGCTCACGACAAGCCGTTGTAATTTCGAAAAGACTCAAGTTCCCTTAGGATGACCGAACAGATACAAATTTTATAGCGCCGCTTAGAATACATTTCTATAGATCTTTAAAAGTACTCTGGATAGCCTAAAAAGTGTTTTCAATGTATTTAGGAGGAAACCATCGGTGGGTGGCCCTTATGTAGTGGGTTAACAAAAACACAGTAATGGAAATGGGACTGTAGACTGTTCCATGAAGGTCAAAGATACAGCCTTCTTACCATTATTATAATGATGATCATGATGATGATGATGAAGCCGGTGTTGAATTGGGGATGTTAAAAGGAATCAAGAAAAAAACAATGAAAGANATAAATTTTCGGAAAAATAATGCTCACGACAAGCCGTTGTAATTTCGAAAAGACTCAAGTTCCCTTAGGATGACCGAACAGATACAAATTTTATAGCGCCGCTTAGAATACATTTCTATAGATCTTTAAAAGTACTCTGGATAGCCTAAAAAGTGTTTTCAATGTATTTAGGAGGAAACCATCGGTGGGTGCCCCTTATGTAGTGGGTTAACGAAAACACTGTAATGGAAATGGGACTGTAGACTGTTCCATGAAGGTCAAAGATACAGACAGCCTTTTTACCATTATTATAATGATGATCATGATGATGATGATGATGAATCCGGTGTTGAATTGGGGATGTTAAAAGGAATCAAGAAAAAAACAATGAAAGACAAAACGGAGGTGTCAATATCAGTCGCTAGATGCTTAACATCGTTAATAGCGCGACAGATGAAAACTACTCAAAGATGTCTAAAAAATTCTGATCTATGGATTGAATTCTTAAAATAAAACATTTATCCCTTAGATCTCCTCTGTTGATGATTCCACCCAGTTGGAACTCTCACTGTCGATGGATGGTGGGCTGAAACAGGTTGGCCATGTCAATTTCACTGTGTACGACAGCGCGCCTAACGTGACTGCAACAAGGTTTAGCGATACGGCCGACGAGATTGAGGTTTACTTTGACAAAGAAGTCGAGTTTGCCGTTCAAGAAACCTGCGATAATTTTCTCGAAAGTGCGACTGTTTCTAAGTTAGGACAAGATCCTATTTGCTATGTGCCTACAACGTTAGAATTGGTGATAAGTTTGGGAATTGGTGCGAACATCACGGTCGGCGACAGCTTGAAATTTAAGAGCAACGTCTTCAAAGCTTTGGGTCAAAGCTTCGGACGATTTCTCAATGGTTCGTTTTTAATTGCTCCGCCATCGATTCCATTGGTACCCGTGGCTGAGGTGACAGGTAAGCAGTTATATCTGTGAGTTTTTTACAAAAAAAAATCAAAATACCACCAATTATTGGTGTCTGCAAAATGGCGCCTTACAAAGGAGGAAGGGGTGGATGCTACCTCCCCAAAGATCCTATTAATTTGTGTATTATGATAATTTTTATGATTTTTTCTACCGTCGGATGCTTCGACTTTCATCAACCATTCCATGTTTGTGACATTCTCTCTTTTGTTTGGCTTTGTAAATGGAGAATAAAATTGACTAAACTGAAACTAAGCTTACAATCACCTGTAACATCGTAGATTTTCCAAATCACCCTGAAAGGGTCTTAAAGGTGTTTATTAAAGGGCGCTTTCCATTTGTCAGAACTGACCGGCCAGACTCTTCCCGTCGTAATGAGGATTTCACTATTAATCAAAACTATCCAGCCAGATCAGTCAAATCCTAAACAGTGTGCAGGAAGGAGATAGTTTTTCAGCAAAAACCTTCGGAAAAAGCCGAATTCATTGTTAAAATGACTGGTCCGGCAATGGTCCGGCCGGCCAGTTCTAACAAATGGAAAGCGCCCTAAGAATTGGTTTTTAAATTTTCTAAGGGGAAAAAGTGCTTGATGCTGGCTTAAATGGGTGTGGTCCTGGCTTCCACGATTGTATCTAAAATATAAGAGTAGGAAGATTATTCTCCCCTTTTTATCTCAGGTCTGTGTTATGAGATAAAACAGTAACAAAAGCAGCAAAGCGTTTAATTTAAAAAGTTCAGGTGCAACGGAAAGATACTTCACTGCATCCACATCTCACAGTCTTTGTTAACTTTGGGCATAATCTAAGATGAGAAAAGTAAAAATATCATTAACACTTTGCAAGTATCTTGTAACTAAACTGTTCGTGATTTTGATTGTTAACTACCTTTTTGTTGAAGGTCCTGACACGATTTCGTCTTGTGGAAATCTTACTCTTTCTGGTTTCCAGTCTTTTGGTGGTGGTGGTCGCCAAATGAATTTCGATTGGTCCTTGGTTTCACCAACTTCAGGAAATGACGCAACCGATATCAATAACATTCTAAATGCACTTAGTCCAAACGATGATCGCATACACATTCCAGGCACAATATTAACAGCTGACAAGACTTACGAATTTAGCCTTGGTGTGGCTAACTTCCTGGATCCGGCGAGCTTCCAAACTGTCAGGCATTCAGTGGTAAAGGCTGCTGAACCCGTTCCAGAATTAACGCTGAGCTCATCTGTTGATCTTGATCAAACCCCAGCTGTAGTTTATGTTTCTGAAGACCTTTACATAAAAGCCCAGGCTGTTGTAAGTGTCTTTAGTTATATTATCATAATTATAATTATCATCGTTCCTACCATATTATTACCCCTTGTCATAAATTGCAATTAGAGCAATTGAAAGTAAACCCGAAAAAAAAACTTCGGGACTTCAACGGGATTAGAACCCGTGGTCTCTGCGTTAGCGCTGCAGTGCTCTACCATCGGAGCCATACATTGGGAGCAGGGCAATTAGGTTAGTTCTTAAATTGCAATTGATCATAAATTGCGATGATCATATCTTAATTTAAAATCATTCTGTTTTTGTTTTTCTTCTTTGTCTGTTTTAATGTTTTTCTGTTCAAAATCTCCTAATCTTGGCCTATTTTTCTATTTGTTTCCGCCGGTAGCTTTACTGTTATTTCTCGTTCTCGTTTGGTGTTTTTATCTTTAACTTATTTCTCTTTTACCCCTGCTAAAAAGCCCCCAGTTTTCCTTGAGCCCATCTAGAATTCACATTTTCTGTGCTTATTGGCAGTAATTGTTTCCATCTTTATTTCACATATTTAAAGGAGAGGGACCCCAGGCCCAGGGCGGGGGGGGGGGGGGGTACTCCGGATTTAAAATGACGGGGATGATCGAAGGATTTTGGGGGGTTTGAAATTTTCGATTCCAGGATTTTTTGGGGGGGAAGGAATATTTAGCAAGTATTTTTTCGGGTGGCATGATTTAAGTAGGGTTTTTTTTGGAGTGTTCAAAACAATCTGAAGATTCGTGGTTGTGCCCGCGTATCCAGCCGCGAACACGAACATTCAATTTCGAATTAATTATAGAAAAAAATTTGACACGAAAAAATCGTCATGGGATTTTTTTATTGGTTAATTTTTTGGTCCAGGAATTTTCTGGTTTTAGTTGAAAGCCCTAGAGATTCCTTTGGGATTTGATTTTTGCACCCATTTGATCATCCTGATCACTTGAAAACCGAAGTATTCCCCCGGTACCCCGGGGGTACTCAATAAAGTTTCATCGGCGTTAAAAAAAGGGAATTAATTCGGTGCACCCTATACTACTGAGGCCCAATCCCTTAACCTTTTATTGTCATTTTTGACGGAAATATATGGTACACCTGTCACATGTCTAGTTTAAAACTTTGCATCCATTTTAAATGCTGTAAACAAGAATAACTCGCAAAACTAGAAACAGATATAAAATCATTCTGTAGCCCTTTTAGGTCAATTTACAGACCAAAATAACTGACATCCCAACCGTCAACTAGTAAAATCCCTACCCTTTCATACCTGAAGCCAGAAAAGGTATCCCTTTCGGCCGGAGCCTCACCGTATAGGCCATTATTTTTTCATCTATAAGATTACAAAGATTTTTTAAGGTGGCTCCCACTTCTCGTAAACGGAGAGCTCTACTCGAGGCAACGAAAACCGTTTTTAACTCCCCACTTGCAAAAATCATTTCTTTTTTAATTCAACAATTTCTGTAATTCAGGTTGCTCCTTGTGCAAACGACACTAAAATCAACTTCTTGTGGACTGTAACATGCTCTGATGCAACCGCACAACGAAATGTGGAGGAGAGCTCCTCCTTTCAGTTCACTAAAGAAAAGGCCACTGTCAGCATAACTAAAGGTGTATTGACTGCTGACGTCACTTGCACTTTTAACTTGACTGGAAGTATGAACTACAACCCGAGTATCAAGAGTTCAATCGCCGTGGACATCAAAGCACTGCCCACTCCTCTTGAGTCAGCTATAAGTGGAGGTAGGGTAAAACTTAAAAGAGATTTTATTGAAGAAAGCCTACCAAACTAGAAAAGGTGTTCATCCCAATCAAAATGAATGTTTAAAAGCAGATAGGCTCGCCAATATACTTCACACTAAAGCGTCCAATAAGATTCGTTTACCCACTTGATATGAAGTGAATATTACTGAATACTTCAAGATAACCAATACAACAGATTGTCAATAATACCAATATCACTGACTCTATACTGCCGTGAAATTGTGTTGGTAGTATAAAGAGCTTAAGATGTCACGAAGGCGACAAAACAACAACTCTGCAGGTCCATCACACTGTTTCTTCCCCGTACGAGTACGACTTGACTTTCCCAAATTTCATGTTTACGCTTACCTGATACCTTAATATAAGTGCTACCTCTAGTGCAAGTGAGATAACCGTTAAGCTGAAGGTAATTTAAACCCATCGGCTACCTAAAAGTGGTTTTACGTATCTGCCGTTTAACCGGAAAACATAACTTGCACGTGAGACATCCTTGAAGGTATCCGGTTATCTTAATGGACGACTACTTTAATTCTTTTATGTCCTCTAAACCTTGAATACGGTCCTTGAAAATGCGACCCTAACAGAAACCGATGGCATTTGAAAAAAAAAAGTAAAAATAGTGATCCTGAAGTGTTCAAAAAAAGCGCAGATTCACTTTTTCCTGGTATCTTAATGCCCCTGATGTTTCTAACAGTTAGTGAAACATACTGCAATGAGCAATGTTTGTTACAACTAGAATCCACCAGCCGGTCGGGGAAAATAAGAAAAGTAGGGATGGGATCCCGGAGGAAGAGGGGTGTGGAGGCGGGAGAGGAAAAGACAGGAGTTGAGAGTTCTAAAAGGCTGGGAAGCTAAAGAATAGTGGGAAATTATTCAACACTACTTAATACTTCGTAATCGAAGAAGGCTATGGGGAGGAAGCCAAGACAAAAAAAAGCGAAAGCCGGGAATGTAGGGACCAATTTCTCAGTTGAGTGCGGTTTCCCAACACGATTCATCTTTATACTGTCATGGATTATCTTGTGTCGACGATGCAAATTCTCTAACTGGCTTAAAGTGGGAGCCTCGTGTAAACGACCACCTCTGGTAAACTGACGGTTTTAGTTTTTGCCCTATTCTAAGCAATCACCTGATACAAATCTTTGATCTCTCTGTTGTAAGAACTACAAAGCTCTGATTTTCTTGTATTGTAACCTAAAAATATCCATGCAATACATTGTCTCCAAAAAGTAGGTACGTCTAAAAGACCTCCTGTAGTTTGACTCTTGCATAAATAGACCATCTGCAGTAGGCGACTGAAGTATAAACTCGGATTATATTTTGGATGGTAGCTTACGGGAGGTTTGACTGTATTTCAAGCTAAGAAAACTTCTTTTCATGACATTTTAAGGTGATCGACAGATTGGCCGTAGCAGCGGGGCAATCCAATTTGATGTTCTCACTATTGACGTAGATGGATCAAGTCTGAGTTTAACGTGCAACTGGCAGTGTGCAATTCAAGATGGCGGATTTTGCTACTCAGAAATAAACAGAGGAAACCTGATATTTTCAGACCTTTCTGGATGTAGAATTGACGTGCAGAGCAATCATTTTAGAGCGGGAGAAACCTATACCATCAGGTTGGTCCCACCCAGAAAAAAAAAACAAACTATTAATTACATTAGATGATTCTTCAACTCGTTAGTAATTCACAAAGAGAAACTTCAGTTCGATATCAGATAAAATTATCATTAAAAAACTTTTAATTTGAGATACTATATCGAAGTCGGTTTAAATAAATGAAACGTTTGGCTACACCTAGTTTTTTAAACCAGTTACTGGTGTCTGGATATCAGATGTTAGTAAAATTTAACTAGTGGTCTATTATCAATACTGCGTTTTGATTGGTTGAGCCACCACTAGGCTGTATGTTATGGCCCACTAGTAGCGAGAAGCGCCGGCTTTGAAAACCAAAACAGTGGTGGCTGAATCCCGTTTTGCTAGCTAAAGTTGTTTTGTCTCGATAGTTTTGACCAGCTAGCTGGATTTTACTAAAACAATTATTCCTCTCTCCCTCATGGCCTCTGAAGCAATAGCCCATGAGGCCGAAGGCCGAATGGGCTATTGACTCAGAGCCCATTCGGGCTCGAGGAATGATTGTTAAAAATATAGCGTCTTGTTTTGACATATGAGAGGACTATGAACTTACTGAACATTTTTAGTAGGTTGTTTGTAGTAAAGGGAACATTTTACATTGATTTTACTGTTACGTAGTAACAAACAACAAATGAAACAGTATGAAAGTATAAACAAAGTTACGCCCTATATATACAAATGCCTGAACAAACTTAAGAATAATGCTTAGCGCCATTTTCGAACGAAAACCAAGTCAAACAAATATGTTAGGCTACAATTTCAAAAACATAAAAAGCAAAAAATTTCTGCGCTGTCTGGCATTCGTCCAACACAGACATACAGCTGTGCGGTTGTGTCGCAGACTGTCCCACATCTTTAAGGTTTATATGAGACCAAGTTCGGGCTCGTTCAAAGGTTAAATAGCGCTATCCACACTATCCAGGGGATAATTAATGAGTAAACCAACTACATTTTATCCATTGAAAGAGACGTATCCAGAGGATAGCGTTATCCACCTGTCAAACAACTTGGGCCTCAATTTCCTTCCTCTTTAGTGTGGATGTATCCAAGGGCTCTCGTACTGCCTCAGCATCCATATCGCTGACCGTGGTGGAAGGAAATCCTCCGCTTGTCTGGATGGGATCAGGAGCTCCATCTATCAAAGTTTCAGAAACCCAGAAAGTTGTTCTCAACGGATTTTACAACACTAGCATTCAGCCAGCCAAAGTGGAATGGAGCTGCATACGACAGCAAGGTTGGTAGGCATTTTCAACTTAATTGCTTTCGATTTAGTTGAAAAGTAACAATCTTCATGTCAATTGCTTCTACTTCTGCAGTGAAATAAAAGAAATTCTTCATCATAGGCAAACAAGTTATTGCCAGTTTGTAACTAAAAAGTAAATTAAAAGTAAATACAATTAATTTTTTTAGCATATAAAGATGTAAATACAGTCGAAGCTCTCCTTGCGACAACTCTCGTAAGCGACCAGCTCTAGTTGCGACCACCTCTGTGACACCCCATTTAAACTGTGACTTAACTGCTTTTTAATGAAAAGCTCTCGTAAGCGACCACTTCCGCAAGCGACCGCGACCGCGACCACTTTTGGGATTACCCAACTGGACTTTTCCTCTTTTTAAGCTCTCGTAAGCGACCACTCGAGTTTAGCTTTGTCTATATCAGATATGAATTCAAAGAGGACAGACGGAAAATTGTTGTTGCTCGAAATATCTAAACATGAATTAAACTTTAATTTAATTTAGTATCATTTAATTTCTTTAGTTTTTTTTCTCTATAAATTATGAATAATTTTTTGAAGCTGTCGTGAGCGACCACCCTCTATTGTTTTACCATGCGGTCGCTTATGAGAGCTCATTCACGTAAGCAACCAGCTCTAGTTAGGACCACATTTTCGAATTCCCGAGGTGGTCGCTTACGATAGCTCAGGGTTGTTTTCACCCTACTTCCCCTTTCCCCTCCCCCTCTTCTCTTATTTCTTCTTCCTTATCGCTCCAGTGCCGTGTCAAAAATTTGAAACACTCATTTATAATCTCTCTAGTTGAACAAATACCCAACTGAATAACCTTGCTTTATTTGCCTTTCCCCTAGGCTTTGCTTATGTAAATTTGAGTGGCTTTACGTTTTCCAACGAGTACTTTGCTGGCAAAGAATCATACGCGTTGCTGATAATACCCGGGGGTGTTCTTAAAAAGGGGTCAAAGTATAAATTTCAGTTGACAGTAAATGATGGCAGTCAAGATGGTAAAGCATCTATGGTGGTGGAAGTCAGAAAAGGCCCCGCGTCTGGATCGTTGACTGTTAATAAAAATAATGTGGAAGCCCTGTTTCAGGAAATTACAATATCAGGTAATAACAAATTTTAAAAAAATCAGAAAAAAATATAATTCTGGTCATTATATAAGGACAAGCAGTAGTGTGGTCCTCTTTTAGGTTCTTCTAGATGTCCTTATTATTTGTGTTAGTGTATAAGTGATCACATCAAAAGCTGAAAAATGTCCAGGATTTAAATAGGGAAGAGGGGCATGAACCTAGTCGAAAAAATCCCTCTAAACTAAATAAAATGCAATAATAATCTTAACCTATCTGGTTATTTGACACTATACATACATACATACATTCTTTATTTAAGGGTTATCATAAAAATAAAATACACAAATACCCTGAAAAGGAAGTAAAAGAGGTGACCCTATATGAATGAACTTCGTAAAAAATAAAAATTAAAAGATCAAAACATAGTCTCAGAGGAACAAAAATTCACATAGAAAAAGAATGAAATTATGAAACACACATATCTGATTTAACAGCAGCTTTAAGACGTCTTAAATTTCTAACCTCCACAACGTAGCGGGGCAAATTGTTCCATTCGCGCACGATTAAAACCATTCCATACCCTAGATAACGAATGATTTTTGCTGGAATAGATATACACCTTACAAATGTTAGCATCATTTTAACAACCTATGAGGTCAATTTCAATTTTCCTTACTTTTGATTCAGCTCCCCGATGGACAGTTGAAGCAGACGCTAAACCCCTCCGGTACTCTTTCGGAGAGATAGTAGATAACGTTTGTGAGGTTTGGGAACCTCCGTCGGATACACCCGAATGGACGGGAGTTCTGCCAGCTGGTAATGATGCTAATAATATCCTTACCCTGTGCTTGATCGTCGAGGATAAGTTTGAGTCATTTACCGTGAAAACGATCAACATCACGTCGAATCCACCGAATGCGGCTGCTCTGTCTTTGGACGCTCTTGATGGCTTATTCCAAAATGATGTCCAGGGCCAGCTGCAAAGCGGCAATGCAGATAAGGCATTGAGTTTAGTAATAATCATTTCAGCCACTGTGCAAGACTCTAATGAGACTACAGGTGGGTCACGATAAAATGTTTTTGACCCCAGAATATCTATTGAAATATTTGCCTTTGGAATAAGAGCCATCTTTTAAAGAATACGAAATGACCTTACGAACAAAAAGAGTCATTGTGACGCTAAAAAAAGGACGGAGAGCTACACAATCCAAATGGGAAGACTGGCTGTGTACGCATTAATCTGACACAGCTGTCAGAGATCTAGAAACTATGTCTTGTTAGCTCCTAGGGCCACGCAAATGTTTCTTCGATACTGCTTTACCTAGAGCTTATGAAAGGCCCAGACAATGTTGGCTTCCCTTGACATTCAACTTTCAATAAGTTCTTTTTACCCCAAGGCATTCAGCTCGCGTACCTTTAATTTACAAAAATTATCACCAAGCGGTTATATTCGCAGGGACCTATTCTAGGGAGGAAAATTTCTTTGTAAAATACATTCAGTTTATAATTGGAGGAAGAGATTATACCAGTCGGGCATTGTCTAGACATTCCTGAGAACACTGTTCCCTTTGAAAGTGCCAATTTATCGGTTAGATATAGCGCTATACAACAGCATTTCATACTGCAGCTCGACGTTATCAAAAGCTAACGACTAAACAATGACGTCCTAATTTTTCCTTTAATTATCCGGCGTTTTTTCGGGAGAGTTTGAAGGTGGGAGAACCAAATACAATTTCCGGGCGGCTTATGTTCTTAGGGGCTTATCGTAGGACTTTTTAGTTTTTCGAATTTGAGTGGTTTATTGATGGAGGGTGTTATCTTTAAGGAGTGTACAGTGTATAAAGCTCTCATCTTTACAATACGCTTGAAATTAATCGTTTCAGATGAGCTAAAGCGCAACGTCTCTCAAAAGACTCAAAACTTCGTTTATGAATTTGTGAGCACTTCTATCGTTGTTAAAGGCAACGCTGGTCCACTTTTACGGGCGTTAGTTAATACCGATGCTGCGGCAGCTCAAAACAGGTAAGAGAAAGAGTGTATGAGATACTTAGCAAGATGATAATCCACTTAAATTACGTGTTATTGAATTTTCTTTCCAGTATCATAAAATTCGAGACAAATTTATTTATTGGTTAGCTTTCTGCAAAGTGTACTTAGTTTTCTGCGCATACACAGATATAGCATGGTCGAATATAGTGAAATGGTTATGAATTCCGCCAAATCCTTTGTTGTATGTTTTTGTGGACTTGATGGTGCACAAAGTTCAATAGCATTCCTATCATATTTCATCGTATTGACCGATAAAAACGTAGCATTAATTTATTCCGTGACAATTTGTGAACAACAGAAAAAAAATTGTGAACCGTCAGAGAGCTTTAAACATGAACAGCAGCGGCCTTGTTGTTTACCGCCTTTCATGATAGACCAGTGCCCTCTACCAACTATGGCTGCATTGATCTAAAATTTATGATTGGATTGTTTTAGCACCAACATGGCTGGTACTTTAGTGAAGATTCTAGATGGGCTCGGGGACCAGTCTCTTAATGACAATCAGGCGAACAATACTATGGGCTGGATTGGTTATCTTGTTGGAGATTCACTTGACGACAATGATGAGGAGTTTCAGACCGTGAGTGTTTGTTATGTAATCCTCTTTTAAACCCCGAGGGGCTTATTTATTTCAAACACGTTTAAAGGGAGGGGGCTTGATAGAGACGAGGGGCCTATTTGAGAGGGGGGTTTATTTTAATTTAGCGAAGATGGTGGTATCAGTTCTCTATAAAGAACTAGAATGCAATGTGGAAAAGCTCAAATACAAGAAGTTGGAGGTCATGCAGCCGAGGATCAAAAACAAATCCGAACTTCCAACACGAGAACAAACCATCTCGGATCAGTTAAAATGACGTTTTGCAGTCATGACTGAGTAATACAGTCAATCATTTATTAGTGAAGAATAATAAGGGGGAGGGGTTTAAAAGAGAGAGGTGGGCTTATTTACTTTCTTCCCCTGAAAAGGGGGCTTACTAGATAGGGGAAGGGCCTTATTTGAGAGAGGGAGCTTAATGTAGGTTTTACGGTACTTTATGGAGAAGTAATAAAGAACACCATGACTGAGCACTTTACCTAATACGGTATATGTAAGTAGCCTCTCAACTTTTCTTAACTTAAATGTCTCTTTCAACGCCCATGACTGTCAAAACACCAGATAACACACGGCCAATAAAATTTTTCCTGATCGGAACTCTAGCAAACACATACCCCATGATGTTGTAACCTGGTGGCAACCTATGCTCACAGTCATGATGACCAGTATGCCAAATTGGTTTCAGCTGTGAATTGTTCCACAATTTCCCAAGAGTTGAAATTAAACTAGTTAGCGATCTATCATAAACATGCAGCATGGAAATACATGTATATTGATGAAAAACCTTAAAGATAGTTTAGTACATCTGGTGTACTAAAAGAGAGTCCTTACGGTATCTGAGACTATGTAAATGTTTAGGTTATTTGTATACTATTAAGCAAACACACATTCTAGGAAATTAAAACCCAGAAACTCAGGTCAGTCTGCTGTAGATGTGACATGGTTCTTAATTGAGAACCCTCAGAAAATCCAAGAATAAATGTAAACAAAGTCTGTTTCGTCCTGTCAGAATATAATTGTTGCCTTAGATGGACTAAGGGTAAACTTAGAAAGTCTCTTTCCCGGGGTCTCTTTCGTCCTTACAGAATATAGTTACCGCTTTAAACGAACTGGGGGACAATTTGGCAGTCGACTTAGTTCTCGGCGATCAACCTAGGGAAGTATCTGATGAGCGGGTTGGAGTGGTCAGTGTACAGGTCACTAGTCTACAAGCTGAGCTTCCAATAAGCAGCAAACCCGGGGCTCCTACACTTGATCCAGGAGAATCGTTGAAGGAGTTTAGTGCCCCAAGGAGGTGTGGGGATGGCAAAACCTGTAGCGGAGTCCTTGTAAAACTGGTACATTACAAGTATAATTTGATTACTCCAGACGCAAGCAAACAGGATAGCCAAGTGGAGATTATTTCATCCTTGGTATGACCACCTGCACATTTTAACATGTATTTACTTTTATCTAGGAAATCGTGCAGAAAGCCCATTGCTCTCGGGACATCGAATACTATGTTCGGGTCCCAAAAACTATTCGCCATTTACAGATTGCTGTACCATCGGATATTTTTTTTCACAAAGGGCAACACCGGGTGAATGAGCAAAGGATCAACTTCCCGTTGGCCGTCTTTGATGCTTAAGCTCCCCTCATGAGCTAATTATTGCCAAATTGCTTCCAAATCTGCTGATTCGCAGATTAAGAATAATTAGTTATGTCTCTGCATTCTGTGCGATGAAGAAAAGTCAAAATTAATTTCTAATAACTACGCCAATCAAAAGCTAACTTTGGAGAACTACTTTAATAGATGCAAGGTCTTGAATTTTTCTGATCTCCTCCCGAAGATTATTTCACGGTTTGGGAGCATCCGACTGAAAGGCTCGGTCACCAAGCGTAGGCAGGTATAATCTTGTACCCAGACCTCACTTTGTCTTACGGTGAGACTTGGGCAAGAGATTAGGACAGGCATCTTTTGTTGGGCTCTTATGACAGATTAGAAGCTGATGGTTGTTCAGGAATCACTCAACTGATGCATACGACCTTTTCTCTTGATACACTTTTTTTTTCATGGAATCTTAATATGAATCGAAGTTGTTGTTGTTGTTGTTTTATTTTCACGCACTGTAATAATCAATCATGTTAAATGTTTCTTTGCAGGTTATTAATTTTGTATTAAGTGACCCAAATACCAAAGTAAAGCTCACAATCAGCGGTCTGGCCAACCCACTCCAACTGAAATTCTCTGTTGGCGATCCTCCTGCTGGTAAACAGGCTGCATGCAAATACTTTAATGAAACACTCAGGATCTGGAAGTCAGACGGTTTGGAGGCAGTAGGACCTGTCAATGGCACTTTAACTTGTAAATCAACCCACGCAACTGTCTTTGCTCCGTCCAACGATATAAAGAACGCTAGTAATGCCACGACTACGTTGCCACCTCCTACTACTGTTGAAGGTGAGACATAAACACGTTACATCTTACGTTGGGAACTATATACGTACGTGTACAAAGGCTTTTGAGGCTGCTACTAAGCGAACATCCTTGTAGGAGTGATAAGACCACAACTATATGTTTAATATAGTCGCATTTCTAATATTCAGTGTCCTGCTTAACTGCAATGTGGTGGAAATGGATATCACTGAAATACGGAGTAAATCACTAGGTCGTTCTTTCCCACAGCGAACCGTGAGGCCCGTACCAAAATTATGACTTCAAAATTGGCATCACAAAATCACAACCAAGGATTATATCCTTAACTGTGAATTGCACTTCACTCAGTCCTATTACTATTACAAACTAAAAAATATTTTTCTTTGGATTTGCTCTAAAGTACATGATGTTAAGATTATGATGTTGATGATGATGATGACGATTTCTGTTTATTATTATTATAATGGCTGTACAAACGTCTGGATGCCCAGAGTAAAAAATAAAAGCTTTGGCTGGGCGCCAAACCGTAACCAGCCGCAGCATCGACTAAAATTTATAGTAACAATTACACACTAATTATAATTTCCGCAAAGAAAATAATAAATAAAAACCTGGGTAAAAATGATTTGATAAGAGTGTCATAAAAACTGAATAAATAAATAAATAAAAACCTAAAAGCTTTATGGACGTCTTAATTACAAAATGAAAATGTTCGTAAGTTTAAACCTATCGTTCATATAGCTGTCCATTTAATTATGGGAACGTCTAAGGTATGTAAATAAAATTTCGATAATGAACAAGACTAAGTATCTGTTAAAATAGGTGTCTAAAAATCCTGTAGATATCTAAGCGCTCAGCTTGAACATTCTAGCAATGTGCAATGAACTAGACAGAATTGCCTTTTGCATTTGGCGCATAATTGATTCACACTTGTCTCCTACAAGCTCTTTAATATTTTTCTCAACCTCTTTCGAACAGCCCCCAAGGACATCTATGATGATGTTATACTGATTGACCTTGTACTCTAAATCAAGCTTATTATTATTATTATTATTATTATTATTATTATTATTATTATTATTATTATTAACTTTATTGTTCGTTTGCTATTTTTTTCTTTGTTACAGCACCAGAAACGAAAGCAGAGAAGGATCACACAGGCGCCATAGTGGGTGGTGTCCTTGGAGGCTTAGCGTTCATTGTCCTTGTTGTTCTTGGTATTTGGTGGTGCTCTAAGAAAAAGGCCAAAAATACCGGGAGGATATCTCCAGAATCGCCGCCACTAAATCAAGCTTCAGACTGCTAAGGCCCAGACCACATGAGCAGTTTTTCATTTGTTGATATACATTATTTCATTTTCCCAAATCTTGTGGCAATTGCCGTAATTCGTAATTGTCGAAAAAACTAGCTCGACAAATTTTATGTCCTCATGAGCAAATTTTTGTTTGTGCGTGTGCACGTTTTCAAAAAACTTTATGTGGTAACTGTAATTGCGAAAAACTGCGCGCCAGTTTAACGTGCATGTGGCAAATACTAGGCGTCACATGTTAAAAGATTTTCGTGTCAGTACGACTAGTCACATAGAAGGTAGACTGCAAAACAGTTGTTTTTGTTTTTCGCAAAATCAGTTTTTCGAGGCGCAAAGAGCTAAGGGCGTCGATTCTTAGACGCTCTAAGCGCGCGAGCCTTTTCAGCTCCGCTCCAGACCTTTCGCTTGTCTGTTCGCGTTTGCGTTAATTTCTAGAGCGCATAAAAACTAGTTTTTGAGGCGTCATATGCATACCGTAGAACTTAGTACATAAAATTTGCTTGTATGCACGGAACGTATTAATAAGCAGCGTTAAAAAAGCAAAAAAGATTAACTTGATGTCACCTTTAAATAGACATATTAGATATTTTTCTTACTTCATAGTGGAATGTCTAAATGATGTTGTTCAGCTTTAGATGAACCAATGTAAATATTAAATAGAAAGAACTTTAACGTTTAAAACAGCAAAGCTGAAAGTTTAGATATAGCACTTGATTTAAAATCACAGCATTCATCTCAGAAAAAAAAAATGTTAATTCCATTGCCGGTTGCAGAAAGTTAACCCTCTCTAATGTACCAAACCTAGAAAACATAAGTTGCGAACGCAAAAATATGCGCTATGAAGCAGGAATGTCATTGGCTTGATTAAATAACATTGCGGTAACATTTTCTTAAGTCTGGAGAGCAACATTTGTGTTCATACCATCTGTTTTTCGTGCAGCTAATAAACTGTCGGAAACGTCTTTGCAACAATATTTTTGTTGTGTGCTAGGCTCCCTTTCATTTTGCATGAAATGTCGCGCGTATATGTTACGTTTTTACCACTAGGACCAGTTTTACGTAGTGTACCACTTTTACATGGCGTCATAACATTCAGTATACGTGTTCATAGGCGTAAAATTTAAGTCAGTTTTCCCTTCCTTTTTAATAGCGCAATTGAGTCGTACTTACTTCGTCATTTCCTATTGAAATGGGCATTTGGCAGAATACGGTCACACGCTACAAAAAAACACCTTGCAGGATGGCAACTGACAACGCAGAGGGGAAAGAAAAACAAAGAGAACATATTATTCAAAAAACTAATATCCTTTCTTTACAAGCTGCCACTCCGCATGCGTCGCTTGTCATCCGGCAAGGTGTTTTTTGTACCATGTGACCATATTCTGCAAAGGGCCCTTTAGACGAGTGTCTTCTTGATAAGAACTTAAGAACAGCTGGTACTGTTCCATGTATTAAACTGTAAATAAAGCACCATAGACGGCATACATTTATTTTTTTTTTACGGCATGCATTTATTTTTAGAGGCCGCAAAATTGGCATCGCACTCTTTAGCGAATCAGCGCATTCTTGGAGACCGAAAGGCAGCTTATTGGTACGGCGTATATTCATGAGAGAAGTCATTGCACGCCGTCCTCATAAAAAAGCTTGAGAGCTCCGACTCCCTGAGCATCATCTACTCTCATCGAATCAAACTCCTGAAGCATGGATTCCCCCCTTTTTCCCTGCTAAGTTTCTGAGGCCATGAAACCAGTGGTAGTTTCGTTTAAGGGGCACAATTTGTCTGAAGCGTGTCATATTTTTATCTGTATGCACAGGGGAAACAAGTAAACAACTCAAGATTGTTGAACCTAACAACTGATAAACTAATTTCTGATAAACAGTAACTCTTTGTCTAGTCATATCAACATATTGACATCTATTAATTTGAATATTGCATGGATACATATATTTTTTGTAAACCTTCTCAGTGACGCACTGAGGTACAGCAGTCATAGGTAACAATTTTCAAAACTGAAACTAGGTTGCTAAGTCATATGGGATTGTGGATAGGTGAGGATGACTATGACACCACCAAGGTTTGTGAGAAAGTTCACGCACAACACAAGTCTTTGAGAGAAATTGTGCGTCTTGTTACTGGTCAAAAGTTAACTGTGCTTAGGAGAACCACTGCCGATGATAAAGCTATGAGGACTAGCAATGGAACGGCTTTACTACCTGCTCTGCCTATCCCATCCCTCTTGTCAAGCCAGCAGGGAGCCTTTTAAAGGGAACAGAGAAAACCAGTAGAAAGGTCATTCCTTTTAAAACATAACAAAACAGTAAATTAAATCCTATATGTATACCTAGACATCTGATACACTATCCAGTGCAGTGTGTTGCTGAGCTCCTGCCTTTTACAATTTTATCAATAATAAATAAATTATTTCGATTTTTAGCACCTTCATTCTTTGGATTTGTCAACCTTTTTTCAGTGGCCAATAGTGTATATTGTTCTAATGTCTTTTTTTCCCACTTCTTTGGTCACTATCTGTTGGGATCTTATAGGGCGTGTCGAACGATGTATATCGGTCGACACGTAAATATTGACAGAGTGGAGATTCTTTTTATGGGACATCATATAAAAACAATATTCTTCAACACCAACAATTTATGGAAAGTTTGGCAGAGCTTTAGGAACCCTTTTGGATCCCTTAATCAGTGATGATGTTTGCTGTTATTCGCGACCGGAATGAACCGTGATCAGGGCTACAACCCTGCCCCAATTTATGGAACAATTTTGCAGTTTCATCAAAACGGGGCTGCGAATAACAGCAAACGTCATCAGTGGGTAGGTTCCGAAAGCTCTGTTTAACTGTCAACAAATTGTTGGTGTTGAAGAATATTTTTTTGTAACACGTAAAAATTCAGTTTTATAAACTTTAACACTGAGACGAAGGGGAATTTTTTCTTCTCTTTTGGACTTGAATGGGGTCTCTAACGATTAATGAAAAAAAATGGATTAACTTGATAGTTAAGAAATATCCAGTTAATAGAAATCTTGATTCATCTTTCTCTGTCCAATTCGAAGAATTTTCCGAAAGATTTCGTTTTGAATTTTCCTCGGTTTTAAAATATGTATTCATATAATGCTCTTTTCTTCAATAAAGGGCAACTGCATGGAAACTTGTTTTGGATGTGTAGTTCATGGGGGTCAAGGTACCAAGTGAACCTATGAAATGAGTCTTAAATGGCCTGGTTAAACGCAAAGTCCCTTCTTTATCGCAATCTTGGAATTGTAAGCACCCTATCGGTATCCCAGGATATAGGCCATATATAGATGCTCGAGGCTCAAAAACGTTGTTGTTGTTACTGTGCGGCTGTTGAAGCTGTTTGTAAGAAACTTTGAAAGCCGTATTCTAACTTACAATTTTAACGACAGAAAAAATTAAAAGGGCTATTTCTTAAATTTTGCTTTGCTTATTAGGTCATTGGCCGCATTCTGCTGCTATTTATATTATCGTTTTGCTATCAAACGTTGGTACAGTAAACATGTACACGTGATTGTCGGCTAATTAAGCACGATGCAAACTGTCGCGGTGCAGCAGGTGCTTTGCGGGTGACCACTCAGGTGATTATCAATCTTAATTTATTAACTGTTTGCCTTTCAAGTTATCTGCGCACTCTTTCAGTGCCAGTTTTGCTCTGCAAAATGGCCTTGATTGCGTGGGTGACGCAGTCTTTGTTTCTTTCTGTGGCTATATTCCTCTTGCTGGAAGAGGAATCTGTTTTACATGCACGAAGAGACTTGTTGTGCCTCAAGGTAACGGAGGGGGCCACGCGAGAAAACAAACAGCCTCATTCTATCGAGAGCTCGGAGAGCGATTTACGACGAAGTTGCAAGATAAACAAAACTACAAAATGGCCAGTTCCTTTCGGAGGGCTGTCTGTCGCTCATATGAGCCTTACTCTTTTGGTTTATGGACTAAAAACCCACAACAAATCTGTCTCTTCGGTTCTACTTGTTGTTTATACTTCCTGCTGGGCGCTGACTTCTATTCTTCTGCTGGTGAAGCTGGGCTATTATTTGTCTCCAGGGCATTTCTTTCTTGAAACAACAGGGAAGAGCGGTTTTTTGTTCACTTTATTTACTTTAGCGTGGAATAAGCTCGGGACAATTTTTGCATCGGCTCTACAGAACATTTTTGGAGTTGCATCTACTGACGAAAAGAAAGAGGCTTTCGAACAATATCTATGTTCATCTGAACTGGAATACGCAGCTCTCGAACAAACTAGTGTAAACCTATCTCGTATTATTGTTGCTTCGTCGACTGCCTACCTCATTTCAAGTAGCTTCACTCTTTTTCTTATTCTAGTTCAAGACGAGCATTTTGAGCCAGTTTTAAACCAAGTGATGAGAAGCACAGGACCACCAACATTATGTGATGGACCAGGGAATCCAATAAGGGATAATGTTGATATGACAGGGAAGGATGCTGAACAGCTTTTAAATGGAAGAAAATATAAATCTGCATTACGAAAAAATTCCTGTCGCGTCTTGAACAAGAACGAATTGGTCGTGTCCTTTCTGGAGGACGAAAGCGACGAGGACTCTTTTGTATTTGGCTGGCGATTGTGACGATTGTACAGTAGAAAATGAATTATATAGATCTGGTTCGTCATTAAGTTTTCTTCGACTTTCTTTGCTGATGTATGCGTATATGGCTGTTATTTCTATGACAAGCGCGTAAAATTATAAATATTGCTGCGGAAACTCGCACGAGTCTGCTAGTCTTTTGTGGGCTTATTCAGGGCACCTATCAAAGTACTGTTCCAGAAGCTCCCTGTCTGATACTCACAGTCCGCGGGCTTTTCAGTTAGCGGAAGGGCACCAATCACTAACCCTCTAGGTACGAGATTAGGGAGCTTTAGAAACGACCACGGCGACGGCAACAAGAAGGCCAAAAAAGCAATGAATAGGTTTTGATAAGCAAAACAACAACTTTGTGCGTGCACCACAATTTTTTGTACATTTCTTTGCCGTCACTGCATGACTACGACGTGAAAACCACTAATTTCACGCTTTATGGAGGACGTAAACAAGCGACGACTAATTTTTCTTTCTCTTGATAAACTTGAGTGCGGTCCCCAAGAAAGCAACTCCAGGGAAATTCGGCTACATTTGTCATTTAAAGCGAATTGGAATAAACGTGACAACGTTTGAAAAAACGCGGATTCATTTTAAAAGTGGCGTTTTCGCAGCTGTCGCCCTCGTCGCTTTAAGGTGACATTACACGAGACGATTCGCAAGGACGATTTTTAGCGCAACACAGCGTTGCAACATTGTTTCGAATGGTTCCAGCACTGCAACGCTGTGTTGCCTTAAAAATCGTTGTTGCGAAGCGTCCCGTGCAACGTCACCTTTAAGATACTACGTACGAAGGCGACGACAACTAGAACGTCAAAAAAGCAACAGGTTAAACAGGCAAAAAAGCAACTCTGCAGGTGCATCACGCTTTTTTGTACATTTCTTTGCCGTCACCGCACGACTACGACGGGAAATTGCCTAATTTCACGTTTTATGGAGGACCAAATTTTCTTTCTCTTTCTGAACTTGAATATAGTTCTTAGGAATTCGGCTCAAAAAGAGTTCGCTTGCATTTGACAAAGTAAATGAATTGGAGTAATCGCGATAGAGATTGAAAGAACGCAAATTCACTTTTTAAGTGACGTTTTCGTGGCCGTCTAAAGCTCTCTACTGAGAAGCTTGAGGAATCGGCATTTGGAGCATTAACGTTACTCAACGTTGCAGGAAGAGAGTATGGTACACGATTCTTAGGCCCGTCCCGTCCCCAGGGACCCGTCGGATTGCAAAAGAGTAGCGACAGGAAAGAAGAGGCCTGTACAAAACAAGAGAACCTAGGGGTGAGGTTGCGTCGCGATTTGGAAGGGAAATTACTTTTACATCAAGCTATTAGCTGATAATTAGCGCAAGGTGTAGACTTCTACAGTGGAACCTCGATATAACAAAGGGCCGAGGAATTTCTTTACTTCGAGGTTGTTTTCCATACATTATACGATTTTTCCAGGCCGTGGATTGGTTCCTCGCCCCCACGCTGGCTTTCTAAAGGCTTCATCACGCGTGACGAAGCCGTAGGAACGTTTTACGCATTTTTCCCCTTGATTCTCCGAAACCGAGTCACATACGCCGCATTTACAGTTAATGCATTTTTAAAAGAGGTCGGGGGAAAAGGAGAGAAAACGGAGAAATCAACAGTCGCTTGGGTCAGACCCGTACCCAGTCGCTATTTATGTGTTTTGGGGGTGCGAGAAGAGTGGGGGTTAGGTTGAGGCGCGCGCGGGGTCTCGTGGCAAGGGACGAAGCCACTCTTCTCTCACCCCCAAAACACATAAATAGCGACTGGGTACGAGTCTGCTCTTGGGTAAGGTCGGTTTAGCCATTTGGCCGCATAAAGACCATGGCAAAGCCACAAGGTGCGCAGGAAATGGAAAACTTGATAGTGAGTTTAAAACATGTTGACGACATTGTCATGGTCGATAAGAGTATCATAACCATGGAAAATTGTTGTCGATTTGTTAAACTCCTTGTTACTCCTTTGCTTTATCCTTTTCATGCTGGTTCCTTTTCTTTTCAGCTTTCCTTTTGATCTGTCTAAGCCCTGAAAGCTTAAGGCGCCGAGGTGTAACATTCAGAGCCATTTGTTTGTAAATGTCGAGTACATAAGTTCAGCCCTTGCGACCCTAATCAACATCGTTTTCACGGCGCGCAAGCTACAAAACTTCACTAAATCGCACCGTGGTAACTCGATTGCGGGAGCTTCAACTAACTTTGATAGCAACCCTTTCTAACAATACAGGCTGTAATTGGCGGGAGAGATCATTTCTGTCGAACACATGGGCACAACGAACAGTAGGCTAACCATCGAGAGTACGTCCTTATTCTATTGCCATTAAATTTCTTAACCACATTCAGTGCTGTATACATAAATGGCGCTCGAATATTTGGCTGTTATTTATTGAAGACAATACGCCGCTCTAATAGTCCCTTCAACACGTACGATTTGCATAGAATTCTTTTCTTAGATTGAGTTTTGAAAGGTATAATCAACGTCTTATAAAAATCACACGAATTCGGCCGCCACTTGTGCAATCAGTCTGCAATTCTAAAACGTCCTCTACCAAATTTCCCCAATGATCCAGACGGCGGCAGCAATGGAAAGCAATGACGACGACTTTCCTCAGAATATGTACTGTTTTTCCACGGAAATTAAAAGCAGTGTCCAGTTATTGTAACAAAACTCCTTGAACAAATATTGCTTCTCTTGGAGTCTCTTCTTTGACCATTTAAGGAGGACATTTCCACGCTATTTACATGACGCCAAGCTGTCCCTTCATGCAGCTTCGAAAAATATTACTGCTTGTATAACATGTACATTATATGAAGCTTGAGAATTTTCTCCTCTCAGATTAATTCAAAGATTTATCCGATAATATCTTCAGCCTACGAATCTTGACTCAATTTTGGTCCGTTGAAAACAGATAGTCGCATTTTTCTATACACGTCTGAATGAACAAAATAAAGTACATTTGACTTGACATCTCCAAACGGGTGAAATCTGGCCGAATTATTGTAGGGAACAACACCAAAGCCAAGTTTCTAGCTTCCATGAGATTCTCTTTTGAATATTCCGTGACTCTGAAATGAAAACCAACAGTAGTTCATTATTCGAAACTTGGGAGACTTTAGGCCACGCGCGCATTTGGTGCCCCGCTTCGGTGCCCGATTAGGATACCCGCTGGGCACTAATATGAACACCCTCCTTCTTCAAGTACCATCCCAATAATTCGGTACAAGGTCGATAGCTTCCACCGAGGCACAAAACGAATCCCTGTGTGCTCGCGTTTCTTGTTAGTTTCGAGGCAATCCACTGCATAGCACACCCACAACTCACTACGACCTAACTCAAAAAATGGTGTCTGATAACGTGTAGTATCGGGTGCCCAGTGCGTGAACACAGCACCATTTTGTGCCAGTAGCCAGGCGTGACTTGTATTCACGTAACAACAAATAGATACATATCGGATATACTGAGTGGGTGAACACTACACCATTTTGTGTTGGAACCCAGGGACTTTGCGTGGGCATCAAATGTGGACACGGCAGGCTAAGGTACACCAGATTGCCGGCTAATCACCTACGGTAAACGAAAGGTTTATCAACCTCGGAAATGCCGACCAACTGAACACGACGTAACGGCTGTTTAAAAGCAGTATTGATCGCTGGCTCGTTTTGAATTTGGTAGGGTTTTGACGATTATTCGGCTACAGCTTTTTCACTGTCAGTATAATACATCCAATGCTGTGGAACAGAACGTTCGGACATTATTTGTCCAGTGTAAACCTGAGATTAAAATTGGACACTTTACCGCAGCAGTTGCGATTTTCTTAGAAAAGCAACGTACCGGTTAAGATGAAACATGATGCGCTTCACCACAGCCAAGTTATGGGGCGGCAGATCGTGAAGAATCTGCCTCAGCCGAGCTAAACGGTCATTGGCATCAACATGAACTGAAAAATACAAAGGCAAGTAAGAAAATAAGGTTGTCGTTTGAACACAAATTGAAGATTGTACCGAGCTGCTCGCTAAGGTGTTCAAGAAAACGTGCAGCAAAAAATTCAAGCCGATGCAAACTTTAACACAACGCAAGAGGTATCAGGCCAAACAAGATCTAGAGTTGCAACCGAATGCAAACGAATCCTTGCAAAGGCTAGCATTTGCCAATCTTCGCTCTCCCTCGGTTTTAGCCTGTTCCAAGCGTTCAGGTAGAATAGAGTGGCGAGAAATGAAGAGGAAATTTTCATATTTCTTTGCGCCGTCTCCACTAACTGGATGCCTGGAATAGGTTACCTCGGTTTGGGCTATTAACAAATTAACAAGTGCTAGTCTACGTAAAATCACTTTGGACGTTTACAAAATCTCTCAAAATGACTCTGCTACTCTTTGCAGCAATTAAGGTACAGTAAAACGAACAACAAAAACCTGCAACTTGTTTTGCGACATTGTTGCAAAATGAAATGAGAGGCCATGTGGCGCGTGTTACCACTCACGAGTCAATGACCTGTCTTGCAACAAATCAGTTTGTTGATTGTTATGCGCCGCGCCGATCTCTAAAGTGGAGAGCAGAACAGAACTCGCGCCGTGATCACCGTTCTCGTATGTGAACAGAAGCCCTATCCGGTATAATTTTTGTGCCGGCGCAAAAGCTATTCGGTTTATTGTGAATATAGCTCGAGTCTCTAAACACTTCTCTGTACTCACCCATTGCTTCATGTAAGGCACTCTGAAGTGAGTTTGGAATGACAGGTTCGGGTAGTAACTTCAAAAAAGACTTGAAGGCGCCTGTCACTGCATGAACTCCGACCCCCAGCTCGGCCAACTCAAGTCCGTGGTCTGATACAGAGAGGTGGAAGTACAATTAGATTAATGTCATCGACGAATAAGGAAAACTCCAGGGTGTGTCTTCAGTCGGGCTAGACCCGATTCTCTTTTTCGAAGTATAACGTTAAGTTCTCTGCTGGAGGACTCATCGTTTCTGTAGCACACATTGTAACAAGTCAGTTCGGGGACTCCCTTTTTACTCGTGTAAAATTAATATATAGTATATTGCAGCGTTTCTACAGTGTGTCTTGTACTTACTTTCTTCCACTTTTTGCTCGATAAGGCCAATGTCAGCTTGATTACCGTTTACTCTGTAAATTCCCTCAACTTGCATTCCTTCAAAAGGAAAAGAAAAATAGCCCTATTTAGTTCATAATCTCTTGCCAGCAAACACCAGGATCGCCGCAGCAATGAGGTGGATGATGACAATTTTCGTATGGATTCAGATGACCACAAAGAAGTCATGGACACCAAACTCTCTTACGTCTGGAGCAGATTAGACCCTTTCGCAGTCGCTCGGGCCAGAGTCACACAATACTCCCCGTCCCAAGCATTGCGTGACTCCGGCCCGAGCGGCTGCGAAGGAGACTAGGAGCAGATCGGAGGAGGCCTGCTTAACTTTATATTAGAGGATGAAACTAAGGTGAAAACTGAACAAAGACCTCTGAAACATCGGATCAAAGAAGGAAAAGCAAACTGTGCACTGGATAGCATCGACGAAGACTGAACGTTCATTCGCCTGATACTGAACACAGTGAACGCCCGCTAAGAAGAACCTAGTGGTTTAAGAACCTGCTAGCAGAAATTTAACACTTAAATACCCAAAAATATAAGAACCTGTTTAGCCAAGCAAAATCAACCTGGTTCTTATATTCGGGTTACAGGTAAATTATGATAAACCTTTTAACCAAGGAGTTTGACTTCGAGATTGCCAATTAGTCTTTGATATTACAAGAAAATAATGTCCCAAACTGTAATTACAAACAAAACTATTACTGTACTTCTTGTAGTTCTTATAGGCGGGTGTTTACTTTGTTAAAATATTTTATTTATGGACTTAAAACTAAACGATGCAATTTTCTCTTGATCCTCATTACTTGACTGTTTCAAAATCGTCACTTGCTAAAACTCAGTAAATACGAATGGCGTATTGGCATGGAATTTAATAACACACAAATAGCGTGACATACCCGCGTTTTCCACAAAATCGATGCACCTGTCCACAAACACAGGAACATGGGATTCAGTATCGCAAATTGTTTCAAGCGGCTGAGCGAAATACGTAAAATTGGTGACTTTTTTCTGTCTTCTTTCGAAAAACTTGTCAATTTTCTCTTTATCTTTTCTCTTCTTTCTCTCCTCGCGTTTCTGGCGTTTTTCCTCTTCGCGTGACTTCTTCTCTTCCTTCTTCCGCTGCTTCAAGGCCTCGCGATCCTCGCGTGGTGTCTTCTTTTTCGATGAAGACCAAGCCTAAAACAAATGCAAAACCACTTTAAGCTAAGGAACATTTATGTAAAGGGTACTACAGTGTAGGCACCACTACTGCAATAAGGAATTGTGCAAATAACCTTTTTACGGATGACAGTTCTGCGCTACCGCGGGAGAAAGCTATGACAAGTTGATCAGGCTTTTAAGCTTGATCACCTTGTTTAATTTAGCGATGTAATCCAGTTTAATGATTTGCCAAGAGTTCCGCATCAAAACTCTAGACAGGTACATTTCTGGCCTATGAATACAGCAGTCTCTCTTCTTTCCTCGCTACTGTTAGGACGTTTCGCATTATTTTAGTACTCGTTACACAACGCGTGATCATCAAAGTGGATACCGTCTCCATTCCTGAAACTCAGGTAGTACCACATATGACCAATCCATCGATGTCCCCAGTACTGCAGACCGTCTCAAAATTATACCACAAAACTTACCGATTTTTTTGTTTTGTGTCCTATCGGTGAACCAGGGTCATCTTCTGTTTCCTACAAAATTTAAACAAAACCGTAATTTAATGGAGGAACGGACTACGTGACTACGTGTGTACAATTACAATCTGCGCTACTATGCTACTACTAACGTTAATCTCCAGACGAGTCCGTCGGAGAAGGAAGCGCAAAGTTTTTAGCTCCGGCTAAAATCATGACACCACTTTGGTCGGACAAACCTCTTTTAAACCCCTTTCTCTCTAATAAGCTACACTCCATTGACGGCTTTTCAGGGGTAGAAAGCTAATTAGCCGGCCTCCATCTCTTTTTTACTCCCCCTCCCTCCTCTACACCTTTATTCTAAAATGATAGACTGCAGTAGTTAATCACGACTCTAACACTTCATGTGGGCTGATCCGGTATGATTTATTCAGGTGCTAGAAGTTAGGATTTCTTTGTCATGTTCTGCACGACCTAGAGCTTCATGTGTCAGAGCCTTTCCACTTTGCGTTGTAGTTTTTATAGAGAATCGATACCATCTTCGCTAATTAAATAATCCTCTCCTTCAAATAAGCAGCCACCACCCAAACGTGCTTGACTCAAAAAAAAAAAAGTAAGCCCCCCGAGGGCGGGTTTACGGTAGGTGAGTACGTACCTCTTCTGTCCCAAGATCTGATTCTCGCCGAGGAATATCCAGGTGATTTGGCTGCAATGACGATATGCAAAAGACTGGGAATTAAAAGCGAACTTCACGGGGGAACTGCTACTGTGGTGACAAAGAAGACTAGGGTGAGAGTTAAGCTTATCATGACTTCATGTACCTACCCTGAATGGTCCTTTGTGCTTATTTTTATCCTTGGTGAATTCCAAGGTTGACTCATCTTCCTGGCTTGAGGACATGGTACCAGTCCTCCTAGATTCTTTCTTGGCTAAAAATTAGTAAACACAAAGTCAAAAGGAAATGAAGTGTCTACCTACACCACTCATTGCCGGCACCTTTTTATCGGAATATGATCGCTTCAACTGAAATTTACTTATTTCTTTGCAATTTTCATTAGGGCCTTAAGGACACAACTCACTTCCAAAAATTAATTTCGGTCCAATATGGAGGTTTCATTAAACTGAGTATCTTTTCCGTATATTTTCTATTACTGGGACGAAAAACGTCGTTCGTTATACCGAGGACTTCGTTCCACTGTAATCGACGAGGCTGTCATTATGTCTCGTACTCACTCTGGATACAGAACAATCATTTCTATGTAATCTACCCGTTTGCAGCATAAACGATAGTACAATGTACCTTTATTTCTCAATCACTTCAAGACCTTGGGAGTCGGTCCTGCCCCAGGAATCGAATCCAAGACCTACCGCGGAGGAGGTCAGCGCTCTACCGAATGAGCAAACCTCTACCGCGGTAAACTACAAGCCACAGTACATACCACCTAAAGATCATGAACCCATCCCGATGGTCCGGATGATGACACTCAGCCGTTCACTGTACTTACTTGATTTCCGTCCCGAGAAAAGCTGTTTCTTGTGTATCTCGGTGGGTACCTTAGGCGTGTTGGCTGGGCTGCGTTGCGTGCTCCGTGACCGCCGAATCACGTACTTCTTCTTTACCGGTCGCTGCTCCTCTGTTCTGGGCAGAGTAGCCTCATCACCAGTCCCTTGATCTGAAGTATTACTGTCCCCTCTTTTATCGCGTCTTTGACCGAGAACTGGCCGACCAAAAGTGTCTGTAAACCAAAGTTGATGCTCTTAAAACCCTTCTTGAGAGAATCAAGCACTACTTATTCCATCACCAGCGACTAAACATCATCTAAAGACAAAACTATTTTGGCCTCATAGCCTTAACTTTCCCGCGACCTACATCTACTACCTGAGCTGGTGAGGTTTACAATGTGCTACCTTACACCCACACTCTGAATCATCTCTGGATCATGACATTTTAATAAGACGTGAAAACTGGAGTTCTCGAAGAACTGAAGAAATCGCGATGAAGTTTAATAACGCAAATGCGCATTATGAGTTAAATTTCGTTGACAAAGCGGTGACGTGGTTACTTAAGCCTCTACTTATTCTCTTAATGCACACTGAAAAAAAAAACGTGGATTTTCAAGTCCAACCAAATTTTTACTAGTGCTGGAGCAGGGTAGACTGCTTTTGCTTTAGTGATGGAAGCGTGGAAAGAATGGTAGGTAAGATTACCGCGCGAGGGCGCTTACTTCACAAGTGATTTCGTTTTGGCCGCGGAGCCACAAGAAGAATTGGGGTGAATCAAATTATCTAGCCTGAGAAAACAGCCGATATTTGGCGACGCTACCACTGGTTTCCCCGCCAAATGACGTCTGAGAAACGAGTGCAGAAATTCCATACTGATGACGCGTCACTACCCAGATCTGGGTAGTAACGCGTCATCAGTATGGAATTTCTGCGCTCCTTTCTCAGACGTCATTTGGCGGGGAAACCAGTGGTAGCGTCGTCAAATGTCGGCTGTTTTGTTAGGCTACAAATTATCCTCCTCCTCACATGCTGCAGAAGTGCCGCCAAAAATCATTCACCGCTTTGATATCACCACCAACGTAAACTGGTCATCACCTACCTCGCCGGGATTTCCTCTCGATCGTGCTAACATCCTCAGCGGAATGCGACAGTCTCAAGGAACTTTTAAGCGTGACTTTTGCGTGCTGTTTGGGTTTTTTATCCGATGGATTGGGCTCCTCCACGATAGCCACAGCGTAAATTGTCGGCCGTGGCTTGTCCGAGACGTTTAATTTGTTTTTTAAAGCGTCTTGCACTTGTGCATATTCTGGATCGCTCACATCCTGAAAGAATAACGCGATCACGTTAACTGGACCCTTTCACTCAAGGTGGTCAATATGGCGAAATAACACGCCGTTCTGACTCATCCACTTTTTGAACAAAAAAGGTTGGTTTGTTAAGTGACTTCATGTCCACGTAACTGGACCGTTTTACTCAGCGGGGTTACGAGGATAGTTTCGGCTCGTGGTCAGGGGGTGGGGAGTAGAATTTCCAACCCAGAGAACTTTTTCTAAGACGGATTAAGACAAAGCAAAGAAACTTTCAGGCGCTGGTTATTCAAACTCTGGATTTCGCATTTCTATCCAGCGGATAAGTGCGGTGAAACTTTCGTATAGCGGTCACCATTGGCAGATGACCGTGTGACCGCTATATACAGGTTTCCTTTAAACTCTACTGGAAATTAAGAATAACGCTTTTATGTGAAAATAATTAATCTATTTACATTAACAGTTGCATAACAAATACGAGAAACAGCCTCTTAAATTTGTAAGTATTAGGGACGCCACTTCGTTATTCAATGCAGCACAGATATCTATGCTGCATTGAATATCTATCTATCCGGATAGCGTTATAAACTGCTGGGACCGTGTTAGTTTTGCAAATGACCTCATGCAAGCTACATAAGGTCACCATGTCATACCTCCTGCTGTGCAAGCGGTGCCTCCACCTCAGAGCCCTTCCGGTTCAGATCAGGCACAGATGTGTGAATGTCCTTCTGCCGAGCGTTCATCTTCACCCAAACATCCTGTGTCGGAATGGCCACTTTATTGTTAAAGAAATTGATCTTTTCCTTCACTCGCAATGCATACGGATCCTCCACAGCGATGGAGGAAGGTCTGGGACTAATATCGTCTACTGTAGAGTAGTGGTTCTCTTCTTTGCGGTCCTCATTCTTGAAAGTGTTGTACCCCTCGTCATCATTGCTCCTCAGCGTGTCTGTCCCCGAATCCGCCGGAGGGAAATCCTCACTCAAATTGTAGTTCCTCTTAGGCAGGGGTGGTGGGGTGTCGTGCACCGCCGCTGTAGGGGTCTCTCGGGCAGTTTTTTGCTGCTGGAGGAGATTAGCGTTCGCGTAGAGCGAGTTTTCGATCAAGTTCACCTCGCTGTCGTTCATCGTGGTTAGTTCTTTCGACTTCCGGAACGAGCGCTTCCTGGAAAGATCGACCTGAGCATAAAGATCTTCTGTCTTGTTTTCTCTCTTCTGCCAAACTTCATTATTTTGCGGTGTGCCGCCGGTTATATCACCAGCCCTTTGCAAACTGAGGAAAAGCGCGGTCGGCGTCGATGTAGCGTAAGGCTTTAACTCGTCACTGCCGCTCGAGTCTCTCGCCTGGCTTGTGCTCTTTACGTCTTCTATGGAACTGTAAGCTGGGATCTGGTTCCCCCTCTGATACACAGCATACGGGTTGATTTCCGATTCGTCCAACGTTCCTTCGGACATTCGCTGAAACAGTTTTGGCGACACTGTCTGTCTCTCACTGAGGCTTCGTCTTCTGTTAATCTCGTCTTCGACGTTCACGGGTTTCTTGCTAGGGGGTTCCGGCAGAGGGTCGTGCTTGCGGCGAATGGAATTCTGCAGCTGTTTCTGCGACTGTCGAAGCTGCTGCTCGTTAATAAACTTTTGATAAGCCAACTCGCTGTCTCTTTTCTTCTCCCAGACTTGATTGAAGAACGCAGCAAACGCACCAACTACAGCAAAAAAATTAAACGAATATCCTTGAGATTAAAGCACACGTTTGTGAAAAACTTAACTTTTACGGGCTTTTTGGGGCAGATGTAAGTGTGTACATTATATAATGTCTGTAGTTAATTTTTATCTCAGGTAATTTTTGTTTTTCTGTTGTTTCAACTTCATTAGCATACAATACCATACCCCCAAAAAAGAAAAACAAAAATTACCTGAGACAAAAAATTAACTACATGTACAACATATATCTGATCATGAGGCTGGTTCCGCGAAGGCTAAGATGAAATTTACTCTTTGTTCCAATTGGCTACGCGAGCGCGCAGGATGGGGTTACCTTGCCCGATCGGGAACGATCACTTTTTCTGGCAAAAAAAGAGTACTTTTTTGGCCATATAATAAGTCCAAGTTCACTGATCAAGTTTTAACAAACAAACTTGGTCAAACACGCATAATTATGGTCACAAGGATAGCACTTTTTTACAACGCCCTATCTTAGAATTTTGGTGCAACTCAGCAAACACGTACAAAATAAAAAGGAAAGAAAAAAGATACCCTGATGCTGGAATTGAGAAGAAGTTGTTTGAAATTTGGCAAAGAGTTTACTGGCAAGATTGGTGCCGTCAGCCAATAAGCTAGCCGCCACGTGACTGTGGAACACAACACTGGCTCCAGACGCGCTCCCTGTTACAGCTAGCACCTGTATAGGTACTTGAGGAATGAAACTTGAGAAGCCACTGTAAGAAAAAATCAAAATTTGACAAAAAAAATCAGTCACATAAGCAAAGAAACATTCTGATGAGCGGCTTCGATAGTCACATGTCTACAGAACCAAGTATAATTACAAGGTTCGTACTCTTTTGAGCTCTTAAAATTCCAAGACTTTCCATAACTTTTTCCAAGACCTTTTCAAGTTTTCCGTGACGTTAGGTTTAGCTGTCACTTTCGGAAATTTTCAAAACCTTCCTAGTTTCAGGGTAGTTTTTGACCTAACTCAGTTGAAAAGAAACAAACTCTGGCGTCCAGCAAAATGCGTGCTGCTTCCGCTGTTTAATAACTCGTCTCTATCGTACATTGTCCTTGCTTTGACATCTGCAGCAACTAACCTACAAAACATAACTAACATTTTCCCTGACTTTCCAGGACCAACAAGTAAATTCCATGACTTTCCAGGTCTGGCAAATTAATTCTTACATTTTATGACCTTCCAGGTTTTCCATGACCCGAACGAAGCCTGCATTAATTTGTAGTCTCCATGAAGAATGAGAAAAAAAAAAGAAAATCTTCCACCTTCACAGTCTAGCAATTATGAATCCCTAAGAAATTTGTATTAAGGATGACTTCAGCCTTCCTGAAAATTTTGGCCGTTATCTCAGTTCATGGCGGTGAACTACAAATGCTATGGTACAGGAAGAGGGGAGGGGGAATTACCTGAGTGTTCCAAGTGATGCTTTCCGTATTGCTGAGTACACCAGGATGTAGCCATGGTACATTTGGTAATTAAGACTGTAAGCTCCTAAAAAAGTTGACAACGGGTCAGTCCTCTATTCTATTCAACAATCCATTTTAATTACAGTTGAAGCTCCATTTGCTACCACAAATCTCCTAAGCAACCACTTCCTATAAACAACCACCTATCCTAATCACCAAGCTTTTCCCAGTCAAAGCTTTATTGTTGGATCCTCTGGTAAGCGACCGCGACCACTTTTTAGGATGACAGTTTCACAATTTTCCATTGTTTTTAAGCTCTTCTAAACAACCACCAGATACAATGGTCTGGTCTTTGTGTTCACTGTTTGTACTACACTACCCTTTAAAACTTAAGTAGAGAAACCTGGAGACCTCCTGCAGCAGTTTGACTCTCATAAGTGACCACTAACTCTTTGCATTTGAGTATTCACTTACACATGTACACACAGGGGATAAAAGAGTAATACCCGGTAGATTGCAAGACTGTAAAGACAAGGTAGTTGAACAGATCACAAGTCTGAACTGTGGAATGTGACAAGTAAAAAATACCAACAGACCCTGAAAGTTAAACATTGACAATGCAGAATGCCCAAATTAATGCATACCATTCATAATTTTCATTAAAAGCAGACAGCACATCACAGAGGATTTAACCCTTTAAGCCCCAATATCCACATACAAATTCTCCAAACTGATCTCTATACATTTCCTTAAAGAATGAGTTGAGAGAATTTGATAAAAGATCAAAGTATTTTTTCTTAGGTGATCATTTCATTAATTCTCATAACCCCATCTCATGATAATGTATGGGTATCATTAGGAGAAAATTGCTGTTGGTCACAATTGGGACTTAAAGGGTTAAGAGATCTTCCTTCTAACTCCTACTACTTACGGTGATACGAGGTTAGTGTGATCTGAACCCTTCTCTTATCAAAGCCAAGGTATGTTTCCAAGATGATGGTGTCTGGCCTAGTTGAACTTCGCCAACAGTTTTGATGATGAAGCAGAGGACCAAGGATCAATTCAACTGGGTAAGGATCACCGCACATTGCACATAACATGATCCTAAAATAAAACAAAGAGAAAACAGCTGAGGAGAATGTCATTCGGGTTACAAGAAACAAACAGATCAGTGACTAGCAGTAACAAACTCCTGTTTGAGCTTGCTGAAGTAAGCAATCTACAGAGTAGCTACATGCACATTATGTGTACATTGTAAGCTTGGCTGGGCAAAAATTTTTTTTTTATCTGACCCTTGGTTGAAAAGTTAATATATTCTTTAGGTACACTGGCAACCAATTTGTTGTCAGACTATGACCACCGCCATTTCATGATTACACTTGGCTTAAGAACTACCATTTGTAATCATAAAGGGAACGTGACACAGCAATTACAGCCAAGTCATGTACTTACTATAAAACTTAATGTTGGCAAAGAAATACCCACTTCACAGCTTCACTGCACAGAAAATTAATGTTTTTTTCTAGTCAATATTTTAAGTTATTTGTACTACATTTCACACAGTTTGGTCTAGCCATTTTCTTAAAGTTGAATTTAGGCTGAAAGGCTATTACAGCTCCCCTAATATTTATTTGTAGTCAACAAGTTTTCTTACTTCAAGTCTGGATCACTGTCCTTTAAATCCTCTGTTGACATGTTTGCTCGAGCCTGTTGCTTCAAGTTCTCTAACAGTCCCCTCATGGCATCCACCACTTGCGTTTCATGAATCATCTTCCCAGCAGAAAAGCGCGCTACTGGGATGTCGATGAAGGTTGCATTGTACCTACAATGATGATGACGGTGTGACATTACTAACATATCAAATGAGTAAAGAAAAGTACCAACATAAGTTTTGCTCCTAACAATATTCAATACATTTATCATGCGATAACATTATGAGAATCAATAAAATGATCACCAAAAGAAAATAGATCTTGTGATTATTGTGATATTTTATCAAATTCTCTATAACTCTCTAAGGAAGTGTATAAAGATCAAGCTGGAGAATCTGTATGTGAATGTTGGAGTTTAAAGGTTTAAGTAATAAAGGATTTATTAAGCAGACCTTCTGATCAGCCAATATGCAATTTCTCCAGGGTAGTCTTACTGTCATTAGATTCAGGGCAAGAGACTCTGCATTGTTTCCACAGCATACTACAGTAACTTTACATAATTTGGCATTCATGCCTGTTTTTTTTCCAATTAGTGATGAGATATCTTTTGGATTATGTGATTTGATGTGATTTTAGGTTAATTGTGTAATTGTACTATCACATAATAAATTATGAGAAACCCTTTCCTAATACGGTATGTATAAACATAGTAGCAAGTCCCTATATGTATTCTTCCAACCCATACATTGCTAAGCTCTTCCAGTAAAATATTATTGTGGAATTTATGAAGTTTCCAAAAAGTAAAAAGAAACAAGAATATATCTGCATTGTAATAAAATGAACAAAAAATATCTACATATATACGGTAGCTTCACTTATCCTAGGAGTGCTCAATGCATAAAAATATGCAGAGCAAAATACAAATGCAAATGTAAAGGAGAACAACTTCTTTGCAACCAATCACAGAATGCACTGCTCCAACCGCCCATGAATTTCAAATTTCCACCTTAAAACAGAAATCTGTTTTCACAATTTTTCAGTCTGGTGATCACTTAGTGGGTGAAACTCCGAGTTACAAATCTGATAATTTCCATCCTGTGCATTTGCACTTGCATACATTGTAATAAAAATTAATAGTTTCAAGGAAATATCACTCGTCTGTAATATTAAATTCCACAGAGTTTTAATACATTTCAGGAGTAGTGTTAGCCAAGAGTTTCTCAACATAAGGCTGCAAAAGTGCTATTTTACTCACAGCAAATAACACTACTAAAACAACTAAAAAAACAGAACTTAAGTCGAATGCTGTATGGTAAAAATCTTAGCAATACTGGCCACCCATACCTGGAACACAATTCCTGTCCTTCTTTTCTCAGGTGATGAATAATATCTTCATTATTTGGACTTCTGGCCAGGATGATGAATGTTGGAGGGAGTATCAGAATGGGGTTTGACTCATCAACACTGTCATACTTTGATTTGACACTCAACTCATCCAAACAATCTCGAACAAAATCCAACGACTCCAGAGATCCATAAACACAGAAGCAACCCACTGTATGAACATCAAAATGGTACCATTAAAATTATCCTGTGGTTCGAATTTTAGATTAAGTTGACGTTTTTTTTTTTTTTCATTTTAATAACTTTCTTATAAGACACACTTCAAAGTCAAGGGCACGGTTTACAAACTGTACATATTCCATGAGCTTTTTACAGTCTTTTGAAGCTCTTTTAACAGTCAGACATGTACTCATAAACAGCCAGCTTCAGTTGAAGACATGTTTTCTACTTCCTATGGGTGTCTGCTTAAAGGAGCTACAATCAAACATGTATCAAGTGAAGCACTATTAAACAGCCATCCTCTATTAGGCAATCACTTACCAAAGTCCAGATATCATTAATTTTCCCTTAATTATTGCAAAACAAATTTGCATTAAGCTGTAAACTCTACTAAGCTGCCAGTAAGAAATTCCCATGGGGTGAATGCTTAATACAGGTCTGGTCTGACTGTATGTCACAAGAATATTGCTGTTTTACATAACTGTAGGTCAATTCCGTGCCAATGAACAAAAATGCTCCTGTACAGTCATGAAGAAGGTATCAAACAATAATTATTTCATCAGGGAGCACTAACCACAATAATTTTTAGTTGATTTTTTCAGGTATTGCATTAAAGCTTTTTTCAAGTTGAAATCCATGTCCATCAGTAGCAACAGACAACAGAAGAGAGCTTCTGTGCTTAAATATGCATGTAGTCTTAAATAACAAAACTGGGCCGTTATGTTTGGAATTCTTTTGACGTGAACACATGTCTTAGCTCTTTAAAAGATAGCAAATAGTATGACATAATTAAGGGAACTTCAACATTACATATACTCGTGTCTTCAACGAGAACATTGTCAAGCAATATCAGAATAAGATTTGATTTTGAGCTTGATAAAATAATAACATTGACAAGTAAATTTCAAGCACACTGGTGAAATTTAAACTTGTTGGGTTACAAAAAGAAAACTTTTGAGCTTCTTCAAACCTGAGAATTTGTTTTGAATTTTATAGCACTGCCTCACAAAGCAAAGTTGTCATAGTAAATAATAAAAGAAAAAATCTTTTCCTGTCTGATGGGTCCTAGCTGACGCAAATACACGTCAGTGCTGATGCTAGATGCATCTGAGAAGAAGCAAACATGCATCTGAATTGTGACTGACTGTGTGGTTCCCTTAACTGTGTTCTGCGCTGTACCTTGTGAAGTCATGTCAGTCCCTTGAAAGGCATATTCTGGCAGATCAACATCACCATCAACAATCTGATAATCCAGTTCATACATGCGCCCATCAAGAGCAAACTCCAAACCATCGGTGTCTCCATAGGAACACTGGGTCTGTACAAATTTTTACAGACATGTCAATTACCAAACAGACAACACATGTCAATTAAGTACTATTGTGTACAAAAGTGACACCTTACAGAAATTCAGGCATTTCTTTTTTTAGCACTTATGGGCCATTTTACAATTGTGTTCTCGGTGCCCTGGGCTTTGAAACGAAGCAAGGCTAAAGATGCCCTTGTTTTGTTACAAACATTCAGGCTTTTCACATGTAGATGATCATGTTCACAGGCTTGTTAGTTAGCATATGAATAACACAATTTGCACAAGAAAAGATGGAGGGTTTGTAACATAAGAAGATCACCTCCAGCCTTGTTTCTATTCAAAGACCAAGGCACCGAAGCACATAACTGTATAAGGGCGGGTACAAACTTGGACTGGACCGACTCATTTACAAATAGGGAAAACAATGGGTACCATTGTCTGGTATGTATGTAAAGAGGTGATCTGAATCCAAGTTTCATACCTGCCTTCTGTAAAGTGGCCTATTAATTTGTGATTGAACAAAACAATTGGAAGGTGCAAATGCAAGACTGGGAGGGTCATGAATTATTACAATATTTTATTTCTTACAGCACCACTTTTACAACAAATGGCAAATGGCTGCCAATGATCTGACACTAGCGACCTTTAGTTTGATTACAGGTACAAAATCAAGTACCAGTACAACTTGGGAATTTAGAGCTTATTGTACATGTATCTTCTGAACTACAGTATTTCTCTTTGTTGTTGCTGACTAGCACAGAAGTTAAAGTCAGGGATAAGTTTGGTGTATGACTGAATGCATTTGTTATTAGCAGTGTTTTAAGCATAGTTCTTGGTTTTTACACAACAATATTCTTTGAATTTACATTTACCTAATGCTTATAATACGCACCCTTATTTCACTCTCCATTGCTTGAGCAAAGCCAGCACTTCCCAAAATCACCAAATTTATTTGGCTGTCATCACTGTCAAGTGTTTCACTGCTATCCATAAAATGAGGTCTGTGAAAGACAAATACCAAACAGTTTATCTTCAATTCAAATCCTAAACAATCAGCGTCAAATTTCTCCCTTTTTAAATACACAATAAACAAGAGGTCATAAGTTTTAAGAATATAATCAGTCAGGAAACATTAGCTTAATGACATCACATGTAGCCGCTTCATGTACACGCAGCCACTACTTTGAAAGGAAGAATTGTGATTGAAACCTGACAAAAGAAAATGTAAATCTAACCAAAGAGATTTTTTAGTGATATATTTGTTCAAAGATGACAATTGCTGTTCTGTTCAAACATCACAGTTTGGGTGAGTGTCTAAATGGAGCTGCAAATAACAGTGCATCATCAGACAATGTCTAGCCAAATTCTCCCAGCAGTTAGACATGAGGACCAGACAGCTCAAAAAACCAGAGTAATTATCATTTTGCACCTGAGGATTAACATTCTACACGTAATGACCCTTTAAGTCCCAATAGTGACCAACATTAATTTTCTCCTTACAATATCCATACAATGTCAAGAGATTAGCTTATGGGAATTAATTAAAAGATCACCAAAGAGAAAATGCTTTCATCTTTTCTCAAATTCTCTCAACGTATTCTTTAAAGAAATGTATAGAGATCAGTTTGGAGAATTTGCTTGTGGATATTGGGGCTTAAAGGGATAAAGAAATGTACTTTGTCAACACAATGTAAATGTAAATCTGGCACTTTTCTGATTTGTCATTTAAATGGTGATGTGTTTGGACATAAATCATGTCCTTTCTAAAAAGAAACATTATTCCGCATAAATGGGACTCAGCAGCCTGTTGGGCCCTATGGTATATATGCTGACAATGAAGCTCCCTGTTAAATAATTATATAATGCAAAGAGGAAACTGTTACCCTTTCATCCAAGACATCATGTTACATTATAACAAAAGTTGGGACAATGAAATGTGATGGAAAACAAATTTATCTGTGAGTCTGCAATAGTGTGAGTCCATAGTTAAGCTACAATAAAACAGGCATAAAAAACGTGCAACTTGTTTTGCAATATCGCTGCAAAATTAGCTAAAAATCAATGCTGTGTGTTTTACTAACCTGTCTTGCAACAAATCAGGTTGTTACAAGTTGCATGAATACTGACTTCTGATTGGATAAAATTACACACAGTCACACTACACATGGGAGTTACGCCACTTGTTGCAAAAGAAGTTTGCCTTGGGCCAGTAAAATGCGCTTTATCTACATGTACGTGAACATATTTTAATGTAGAGAGTTGAGCTACTCTCTACTTTACAGGGTTCATACAAAAAATTGCAACCATTTCTTATGGACTTTTCAAGGAGCAAATTTGATTTACAAGGACTACCTACCACGAATATAAGTCACAGATTTGTACATAAATGCACATTCCCAACCCAAGCTAACGGCCAAAAAGCATTAAAACACTTCCCAGGCCACTACATTCAAAGTTGAGGACAACTCAAGGACTTTTCAAGGACTAGCACAGAAATTTAAGGACTTTTCAAGGAAAAATGGAATTCAAGGACTTTTCAAGGACCACATTTGACTTTCAAGGACTTTTCAAAACTTGGAAAACCCTACTTTAGGCACAACCTTACGGGTTTGTCTTGTGGGTGGTAAAATGTACAACATCGCTATTTAACTTGTCTTGCAGCAACGTTGTAAAAAAAGTTGGACACCTTTGTTGCCTGTTTTACCATAGTATTATGGGAGTTTTTTTTTCAGTCATAGAATTTAGTTGCCTTACAGTAGAACCTCAATATAATAAAGAACCAAAGGACTCACAAAATATGCCCGCTATAAAAAGGTTTCAGTATATCGTTTTTTTTTTCCATACATTTTACATCCTAGGGTGGAGAATATCATTTACTTTACCAAGGACTCTGTTATACAGAGATTAATTAAGTCAACGTTCCATTGCACGTGGAATTACTTGTTTTCCATAATAGAAAGGTCTCTGTTGAGGCAAGAGCTGACGTCACAGGACTGGAGGGTGTTAAAAGCACTGTGACCCTTAAAATTTTGGCAGAAAATAATTTGTCACTGTTATTCATACAGTATATTGTTTTCACTGGATCAATCTAAACACATTAATTAAAATGAGTCACAATATTATTGAAAATATTATCCTTCTACGTACAGTCATTGAAGTTCTCTTAAGCAAACAGTGCTGCTTTCTGCCCCCTTGATAAAGCCAGTTAATAGCACCATTCTCAAAAGAGGAAAGCCCTAATTTAGACAATAATATTTTCAGTTTTTCAATGGTGTCCAATATTATAAGAGCGCCAACTTTTCCGCTAAGAAAATGAGTTCATAACTAAAAATATCCAGAAGTTGAATTTTTAAAAAAAAAAACACCCAACTGGTCAAAATTCTACTTTTACCCTGAGGAACAACAGGCGGCATAAACCACTCTTCATGCAGTTCGTTTTTGTTCAAAGTAATGGTCAGGTGTAGAATCTAATTCTTATTTATGAGTTAATTCAAAATTTGCCTTCTGCTCACTTATAACTGACAAAGCATGACAATAACTCCTCTAAATTGTTGTAAATAATACAAACTTTTAACACTATAGACGGGACAGCTTTTAATGAACTGAAATGAGTGAGAACAATAATATTTCGATATCCATACTTTTGGCAACTAATAAGAAATTTTTAACCATTCTATTTTCAAGGTCTACAAATACTACTAATTTAAAAAAGTAAGAATAAGCCCCAGAAGCAATATGTTTGAGTACCAAAAAAAAGAAAGAAAGTACACAGTTGATGAGAAAAAAAGAAAATCACACAGCAATTATTCAATTTTTGGCTCGAAACTCTGTCACTTATAATTAAAATTAACTGTCTGAGACCGAACCATATGTCTTTAACAGGTAAAAATCCTCTTAAAAATTAAATCCCAAAGGAAAACAGAAAATTTCAAAAGTACATGATAAACATTTTTTATCCAAAAGAGTACAACAGAGGTTAAAGGAATCAACTGAACAGCTGCTATCTTGTCATATAGAGACAGATGTTCTGCATGAAAAATCGTGAACAAGAAGAAATACGTACATATCATTTTAGGTTTCCAAAACATCGCTTTGACTCCTACAGAAGTGTGTTAAAAAAAGAATTTAAAACAAAGAAATGTAATTATTACATTTCTTTCTTTCTTTCACTGGAATGTAACAGCCACAGTCAAAACATGTGCAAATATTTTGAAACTCGAACCGGCAAATATAATAATGAACTGGACATTTCTGTGTACTTATGGAAAATTTCAATCATGTTGAGAACGTTGAACTTGCATAAAATAATAGGAATACAGTATGGTGAAGGAAGCGCCTAGATTATCATTAAAACACAAAGTTTTGGTCGAGTTAAGCTTACAAAACATCTAGTGAACGATTTTACCTTCATTTGTAATTTCTACTGAGTGAAAAATTGATTATGAGCTAATAAGGTCACTGAAAATTGTATGGGTTGTAAGTTAAATAAGATGTCATATGGTAGATTACCTGTATGTGGTCGTGGCGACTATCTCCTGCATGAGACGATCTCGACACCTCTCCGCACCACTCAAACATCGTGTTGGGCTGTACAACAGAGCAATGTGATTTATCAAGCCGATTTCCCGATCGCTATCGAGCTTGTCGAGCCGTTTATAGCGATCGTCTTCGCTGAGGGCGTCTTTGATCAAACGCATGTCTTCTTGAGAGATAGAAGGGCGCGTATTAGGTTCCAGTTTTGAAAACAACCCCGCTGATTCAAACAACAACTCCTGAAAATCGGCTTTAGCTTTCTCGGTTATGTCACGACGATAGGTGTCGAAAATTGTTGTTTTGTCCGTGTCGTTCAGGTACTGAAAACTTTCCTCGTTTTGAAGCAGCACGGCTGCATCGACCCACATCGTACCGGGCCTAATCTTAGGAGTTAGCTCCAAAAGTTTTCTGAACTCATTCATCATTCGTATGCGTTTTTCCTCGGCTTTTAACTTCACTACATGATTCTGAAAGACCGTTTCTGCTTGCGGCAAAGCGAGAATATCAAAAGGTACACGCAAATCGTCGGTAAGCAAGTGATCGCTTTCATTCCAAGCAGTGTCTTCGGGCAAGATGATCATCCATTTTAAAAACTCTCTGTGGTTCCGAATTGCCTTTTGACAATTTTGCCAGTTCCACTGACACAGATCCATCGACGAAGCACTCGGCATAAGCTCTTCCAGAGCGCTAGGAAGCCTAGACAAGTAGCCATTCAACTTTCTTTCTTCGAACTCTTTCCTCAGTTTTCTTATGTGCTTATTGAAGAGTCTCTTGCACGCTTCGAGCCCGCATAGATCGCGGTGAATTTGAAATTCCCTTTCATTCTCGATCAGTTTTTTCGTGTTTTTCCAGATCACACGAAAGTCAGTCACTGTCCTATCTATAAGCCTTTGAAAGTCCTGTACAGCTTTGCCTAAAATGTCTCTCTGCGTTTTCTGAGCTTCAGTAAAAGGAATTATTTTTGAACGAACCCTTCCCCGCTCGACGAGTTGGGCCAAAACTATAAACGCGAGGTCAACATTTACGTTCTCGTGAGAAGAGGTCTCGATGATAGGAACGTTCAACTTTTTCGACTGAGCGAAACGATGTACTTCCTGCAATAAGTTAAGCTGTGTATCGTCACATTTCGTAGCCACAAGAACGAATGGTTTCTTGCTCTTCTGCACGTATGTGAGAATCAAAGACAGCAGTCTCTCTTGTTGCTCTTCGAGCCGTTTGGATTGAGTCGCTTCGGCATCATAAACTACGATGAATCCATCGACAGTTACCTTTCCGCCAGGTAAACAGACTTGCTCGTAGTCATTCTGCAAAGCTACTTGATCTCGGCTAATATACATCAGTTTTTCTGGGGACGAAAGTTTTGAAATCGCACATCTCTTTTGATACGGTGCAAGTCCACCTCGAGATAAAGGCATGAGTGTTGCATCGTCGATAAATTCAGTCTGCTCTAACACATGAATTCGAAATTCACTCCCGTCTTCTGCTGTCTTTGAAGCAGAACCCCAGTACAAGAAGTGATCGTTATTCAATACCCTGCCACCAAAATCAGAAGAACTGAACACCGAGGAGTGTTCAGTAATGTATTCGTCGGCCAACGGCCGCACAAACCGATTACACAAACACGACTTTCCAACGCCATAAAAAGCTTGATCTCTGTCTAATCCAGACAAACCAACAACGGCGACATTTACGCTTTTGGGTTCGCTCCCTTTCTTGGACATAACGATGCCCGAAAGCCGATGCAAGAATCTTACTTGTCTCAATCCGCTATCACCAAACAATCGCCGCCATTTTCACTTTTTTTGTTTAAGGGTCGGTAGTCACGTGACCGATCTGAAATGTGAGCCTGTTGTAAAAATACAGATGAGCTCACAAGCTTCAAGACGGGCGGTAAGCGAAATATAGCCTCGAGCAAGTCATTCACCCGATAAAAAAACCGCCAACGTAAACTGCACAGATGTGAAGACTGACAAAACATACACTTCAAATGAGTATCAATGGTCTGTTTTGTGATGATTCTGACCGGAAGTTTACAAAAACGTGGGGCATTCTGCGAGGGGGCGCGGAGCAAAAAAAACCGGAAGAAGGGTTTATTTAGTGCAAACCACGCGATTTTTCGGTGCTAGAAACACAACCTAAAAGCTTTTCGGAATATTGGACTTTGTTGCAATCTCAGTAGGATGAATTGGTTTCTCTCGCTTAATCGGAAAACATCACGGATATTTTAATTTTCAGGTTTTCTCTAGAAACCGTTTCGGTCAGTTTTAAATATAGTATTGACACGGTGTATACGTTCGATGCAATCTTTTCAAGCGAAGGAATTTTACGCACTTTGAAAACATGCATTATTTTTTTGACAGCCATAGACTGGCTTCCCGGCAGGCTGTTTCTTGCTAGACAATGGTGATTGTTCATTGGTGTATCACATAATGTTATACAAGTGATTTATAATAATAATATTTTTAAAGACGTCTTACGTTATAATTTTGTTCTGCACAGTCGTCTTTTCGGAGTTAAAAAACTATATACATCATTGAGAAGGCTTTATACATATAAACCGGAAGATTCGATAGGACTGAGAACATATTTAAACCTCGAATACGTCATTAAGTTGAAATGTTGTTATTATTACTTGTCTTATTATCGAAGCGCCAATATAAATATGTAAATGACATTCAATAAATGTTACCATTTAGTTAAGGAGCTGTTTAAAAATAGTTCTAAGTTAACACGAAACTGACTCTCCTACAAAATGGATCGCGAACCCTTACTGACTAAATTCTTTCTGTACAATTTATCAGTTGATTCTAACAACTCGATATCCCTGAAATTCTCAAACGAGCGACTGAAATAACTAAAAGTGGATAAAAATAACATTGGTGATTTGACATTAATGAGGATATTTAGCTTATCCAATATCACTGTTACTTTAAAGTATACTGTTTTTGAAATGAGAAACTCAGCGCCGATTTGTCATGTTTTGTTCCATTGCAAGAACAGCAGAGGCCATAAAATTGCCCTTTTTTCTCAGTTATGGTTTAGATCTTTGCCCATGTATTTTTAGTTGACGCTCGAAATTTATTAATTTGAGGTTTAGAACAGGCGAGGGCTTGCAGGGAACGAACGTGATCACACGTTTTAACTGAAATCCTTGGTATTATGACTCACCAAAATAATACGTAAGTTACTTCTTTTAATAGCAATACGAGTAAACGCACTTTCCGAGTTTCTGGAGTGTCTTTTTTCCCTAACATGAGGTCGAATCATTGAATACAACTGACACACCCAGCGTGGCACTGAGGCGTGCCACGAAAAGGCAAGATGGGTCAAAAAGGAGGGAGGCGCGCGAAAGTCAAGTCCAACGTCGAACTAATGAAATAGCCTGATCTGCGCTGCAGCCAGCCAGCCTTGTCACTCGAGACTTAATAAGACAGAGTACTCCAGGGAATTTAGTCTGTCTGCGACGCTAGTTTGCTGCATGTAATTTGTCCTCGGCACGAAATGATCTTTGCTCGACTCAGACAGACGAATCCAATACGGGTGTTATGAAAACGTAAGCTGATTCAAGGTATCCAATAACGATAATGCTTCGTAGGCGAATACTATCTCAGTTCTCATTTCAACTGGCGCATGNAAAAAAAAAAAAAAAAAAAAAAAATTGATACATAAATAAAATAAACAAATTGATTAATCGAACAACTCTTTTTTAAAAATCTCCGGTCCGATACCTGCGACACACGGCTCTCGCACCTAAATAATCACTGAATGAAACAAAAATATACTCGAGGCATACTGGATACAAATGATTGGCCCAGGGTCTCTTGCGGTCAACTGCATGGACAACTTGAAGGAGAATGATCAGATAATACTCCCCAGTTTTAACCTTTTTAAAAGTTTTATGGTTAATCATAAACCCTTTTTCTTTCATCATCTCTATAAATAGGATATTTTTCTTTTCTCCATCTCTCTATCAGATTCATTAAAATAGTTCAACTTCGCCGATAGGCTTTGGGGAGTGTGTTATGACTGTTAATGGTCTTAAATGGCCTAATAGTGACCTCTAATGTAAAGCAAGATTCGTGCTTCGTCAGTGAAAATTTGCGCTATTTCTAGGTCTCTAACCTAACATACACGGGGAGGTGTGACGTTAGGAGAAAACCATTCGTCTAGTAAGCATTTTTTTTTTTTCGATTAATGGGGGGAAATGATTTTTTGCTAACTGAAGTAATGGGTGGGATGGTAAGTGAATAAGTTAGCAGTTGGCAAACTTTAATTTCAAGAGGAATAGTTTCACCCGGGATCTGATTTTTTTGTGGATCTGGATCTGGCTCCAGGTGTTCAAAAGGTGGATAGCGCTCAGTATCCTTTGGATAAATCACTATCCAGTGGATAACGCAGTGGTTTTCGTCAGTACTACTTATCCGCTGGATAGTGATTTATCCGGTGGATAGCCCTATCCAATTTTTGAACAACCGGGGCCTAGAGAATAATTGATCTCATTTGCACTAAATATTATGAATCTCGGGATTCATTATCAGCCGCACACCGTTAACACAAAAACATTACTGAAGTGCGAAAGAAAAACCCAAGAGCAAACCCCCGTTCACTTAACAGTTTTATCCCTTAGCTAAACAAGGCTTTAGGTCGATAAAAATAAATTCCATTTTATGTCATTCCATTATGTGTACCATAGAACACTTTGGAGAGTTTGTTTTGATAATTCCCCGCCTGAACAGTAAAGTGTAATTCTTCGTCTTCATCACATGGAAGTCCATAACGCCTGGTGCCTCTTCACCTTTTCATTCCGTTAATCTAAAACCGTTTCTATTTCTGCTAATCTTAAACGGCCTTTGTTCGGAGAGTAAATATGGCGTCTAAGTGCGCTCAGTGCAGTGGGAATACGTCAGTACGAATTTCGTTTGATCTTGTCTTATCAGCTCGTAGTTAAAAAGATCAAAACATGGACGGGGCGTTTCGTCGCCAAAGAAAATCATGAAATCAAAAGATAGAAAAAGTATCGTCCAATTGTCAAATCGGCAGCGCAGTGTCTATTATACCTCAAGCTACAGAAGATTACTAATCGTCATTCTTTTTACAGCCAAGAATGTGCTGTGTGTTCGCTAAACCAACCAACCAAACTTAGTCTGATCGTTTATTGTTTGAACTGTGTTCCTGCGTGAGTATCAGTTTAAATCAAGGTCGAACGATAATAAATCTCGTGATCACGCAGAGGCTTTGCTACCTTCCTTATACTGCTGGTCAAATATGACTGGATTCTCTCCAAGTACTCGGTGCCAGATTATCGTATCTAAACCCATTGTTCTATCCACTCTATCTTAAACAATCGGATGCAGTGTAAAACTATTAACAGCCAAATTGCTGGGGATAACCAGCAATAAGCCATTCAAAATAACAACGACAACAGCAACTTCTGATCCCAGGTTAATCCGGGAAGTAGCCAGTAACAATAACGTGAAGCTTATGTAATCGGATTGCGCGCTTCTGTGTGTCTCAACCCCTTGCAAGTGTTTCCTTCCTTTTTATGCTCGAAAATGCCGGGAAAATTTGTCTACCCGGGCAGAGTTGTTAGTAGTCTGCTACACAGCCGTTTTTAGTGTCGTCACGCAACGCTCGTTTTTGAACATTAATCTGAAGGGCATGAGTTGTCATGGCAACTTTTTTGTAGGTCCTTCGACAAACTCGTCCCCAGGACTAAGGCAAAAGCCCTGGGAACGAGATTGGACGCTCGAACAACCCGGACAGATTTAAAAATGACACAAGTGAATGCACAAAACGTTCTTTTGATGCGACCCGCACGTATAACACAGGCTTTTTACTAAAATAAGCAAGTAACAGTATAAAGTTGGTACAGCATTGTTTTATTTTAAAAAAATTCAACGTTTTTTTTTTTTCGTTTTTGTGTATTTGAAAAAATTGTTACTGTATATCAAAAACTAAATCTTAGCATAAGATAAATGCTTTTCTCTCAAAGTCAGTAGGCAATGTGCGGGGTTTCACAGTAGTAGAATATAACATCTTGGCTGATAGCCACTCACTTCCCAGCAAGTGAAAGAGGTCCACACCATTGCAGACCAATCACCGTAAAATAGCTACACGACGAGTTCTATCCTCGCTCTCTGACAGGTCTGTGTGTCTTCTTTTTATACCCTCGTTTCCAAAGAAAATGATTTGAACCCAGCAGTCATGTCTTAGTAGGTAAAATATGATCGTCCGGGTGACCGAGAATCAAAGTGAGTTTTGTACCGTTCGTTGACCATTCAGCATTCAGATCAATAACCCAGTAGAGTAAAATACAATCAGCTGACGATACACAACAACTTTGAATATGATGACGATGCTACCAAACAGATCGTCGAAATGTCTGTCACGGTAAGCAACGGTCCTATTCAGAACAACACTCCAGAGATGATCATATTCTATCAACTTATGTTCTCAATTGACAGGCGCACTGGACGACCACGCATTTTGCACTAAGAAGTTTCCCAAGAAAGCTTTCTCTTTCTGAACCAGTAACCAGACGGCCATAGGTTCGACTCCTGACGGGAGAACTCGAATTTTTTTTTCGACGGCTGTGTCACTGAAGCAGACAAAATGCCAGAGCGCAATAGCAAAACTCTCTTGCGTCACTTAAAACGTCCTAGACATCGTTTACTCTCTGCCCGACTTTTCTTTTCCATGCCACTTGAGCTGTTCGAGTAAGTCCTCCGTTACTTTCTTGCCTTTCCTTATGACAGCCTTCGGAATTATCTTCACCACAGCTTCTACCTGTAAACAAAAATATTCCGTAAATATAGGTTAAAACCCTGTGCAGGTCACCTTACGCCCCGTGCAAACGGACGCAACATTGTTGGATAGTACATGTTGCGTCCGTTTGCACACTCTGTTACGTGTTGTTAAGCAAAGTTTGAAAACGGTCAACCTTTTATCTACGCGCAAACGGACGCAACAACTCCCAACAATGTTGTGTCCGTTTGCAAGGGGCTTTAAACGATGCGAGACTAAAATTAGGGTGCTTTTGCGTTGGCGAAGGCAGCGAGAACGTCACTTTGAAAAAATGAATTCGCGTTTCAGCTTTCAAACTTTATCGCGTTTATTCTAGTTAACTGAAAATGTCAAATGTAGGCGAATTTCCCTTGAGTTGATTTCTTGGGGATTGCACACCCAATTTCAGAAATAAGAGAAAAAATTGTCGTCGCTTGTTTACGACCTCTATAAAATGTGAAATTAGGCATTTCACGTCGTAGTCGTGCAGTGACGGCAAAGAAATGCACAAAAAGTTTGATGCACGTGCAAAGTTGAATTTTCACCTTTTGAAATTATTTAGCTTTTTTGATGTTTTCGCTACTGACATGAAAGTGGTCGAAGCAACAAAACACGGACACCAAAGGGACAAACCCAGATATGACATGCACAAAGAGACATACAAGGAAACTATATAAAAATTTAATTATCGCAAATTTCTCTGTCACGTCTTTAATGGTTCTTCCTCGTGGTTTTCAGTCTAATTGTTTTAAAAGTTTAAGGCCAATAATTTTCCCATGCATTTCACTTCAAAGCCGGAAACAATGAAAAATGTTTATCCACCTTTAAATCCTTGTATTTAAGCACGAAAACAAAATGCCTTGTACCGCGACCATCATTTTTTTTACTGAAATTTGTTTCTTAACCTGCAGGTATGTACAATTTAAGACAAAACCTCTGAGAAATTGGATTTTCGAGGGTTACAACTTAGCGTTTAGCAGTTTCGTGCTGGTTTCCCGGTAAATACGATTATTTTACTTTGATATTTGTTAAGAGCATCATCTCCGAACCAATGGTGGTAACAACTTCCGATTATCCCTACATGTTAGCCGGAAACAGGAAGAGCGGTTATATATTTTATGATTCCACATTTAGGGCCTGTTCATATGAGGCGAGCCAGCCCGGTATAGCCGGGCTGGCCCGTGGCTCGGCTCATGCCTTGTTTTATCTTAATTTTGTCGTTGTGTTTATATGAGAAGGCGGGCTGATTCGCTTACCGAGAGCCCGGTTGCTTGAGCCGAGATCTCGAGAAACGTAAAAAAAAACCAAACAAACAAAAACGACTGTTTTGCGGTGGTTGACAACGTGCTCACCTGTTCTTTGGCGGATAAACTGTTAAAATTTCTTGGAAGTTTTCTTGGCTCGACTTCTCCAGCTTTATATATCTCCTCCAGTATCAGCCTAATTAGATAACAGTGAAATTTGCATGTGAAACCTCAGGGCGACAAAAAAAAAAAAATTCTGAGGTCCCCACATACACGTCCTCTTCATTTAGCAAACAAAGGCGTCATCATTCTATCTTTTGAGTCAGCTTCTCGCGACAGGCCATTAAAATAAGTTCAAATTTTTTCTTTGCAGATTCCTCACAGCCAACTATGCGGACCTGCAACAAAGTTCAAGTCTTTGTGCAAACATTGAGGATCCTTATTTTTATTCGGTTTTTCATTCCTATCAGTTTTGTTATCGCAAAATCCACCCATCTCGAAAGGACTTTGCGTTCACCTTTATCCCCTCGAAAAAGATGAACTAATCTAGGATTGTGAGTGGTGGGTCGAATATCTTGGAACTGCAAAGATGTTCCTTTTGATATTTAGAACAGGAAATTGACTGATTAAAGTGTTACGTTAAAAGTTGCACTGATGTCAGCTCACTGGCAATAGTGTAAAATGCTACGTGGCCTACTTGTAGTTTTGTGAATTCCACACTTGGCTGCTGATGGCCATAGTTTCTACAGGATTATATGCCTGTGAAAGAAGAAAAACCATTAAGCTCGAACAACAGATGTATAAAAAGACTATAAAACCAGCATTTTCGGAAACACGACGGACCAAGGGGAAAAAGAGTGCAGTACACCAAGAAAACCCAGTTGAATTGTATATCTCAGCAGCAGCACTTTCCTATAGCCTGCGTGGCAGGCACAAAAAAGGAAGGGGAGGGGGAGAAAAGCGCAAAAGGGAAAAGGGAAAGAGAGCCTTAATAACCTCTTTCACTCCTTCCTCAGTTTGACCGACGACGCCTGCCACATACTTTCCCCGTCTGTTCAAAAAACGTGCTACCAATTTCAATTGCCAGAAGAGGCAAAAACTAAGTTTTACATCTGAAAAACACAAGTTCCGCGGGTAACACAACCCTACGAACAACTAACATTGACATAATTACAGGACAGCTGAAAATAAATTCCATTATTTAAAAGGTTTACCAAAACAAATTATGAAGGATTGGCAACACTGTACTTTCAACAACCTAAATTCAAGGCTAAAAAAAAGGATTGTGATCACAAACTGAAATCAACATTCCAATTTGTGGGTAAGGTCGCATAGTTTTGAGGCAATGGAGAACGTGTGCGATATTTCACATGGTTGTAATTTGAAATGAGACAAGAAGCTGACGTGAACACGCTTTGTCTTTGCGAGACAGAGAAAATGGCCGCCATTCTAGCTTTTTCCAAGCATTAAATTTTAGATAGAGGAGAGTGAGCGTAAAATAGAGAACAGGCGAGAAAAGGGGAAGAAAGGAAGTGAAAGAAAGAAGGGAACCTCCTTACCCCACCCCCTCGCTGTTTTTTTCCTTGTCACTGTTATTTGTGCTGTCCCCACCATCAGAACACCTGAAATAGGCTACTAGCAGTCTTAATTTTGTCCCACAAAATTAAGAAGAGGTTTGTCGACCGCAATAATTTTTACCTGATGAAACCAGCCGGTAGGAATGATTAAGATTTCCCCAGCCTCCTGAGTAAAGGTAATAGCTCTGGCTTTTTTAAACTGTGGGTACAGTTTGTAGTCAGGAACATAAGTATCTATGGGACTTTAAAACATACACTGTTACAAAGGATGCAACACAAAACGATTTAATTAATTCAATTCAATCAATTCCTCTGCCACCAGAACTGCATCCCAATTGAAATCAGACCATAATAACCACTCCCAGCCCACGAGAAGTTGACAATATTTCCCGGGATATAAATTCCCTACCCTTTTAAAACAGCAACGTTGGTTCTTTTACATCCTGTATAGTTTTTCGTCCTTGTTTACATAGGCTAAAAGTTCTAGCATTTGCAGACGTCAAACAAAGGCTGTACCGTGTACCTGTTATATTTCATACAGTCTAAAGGAAAACCACATCTTTGATTTCCTCGGACATACAGTAAGTGATCTTGGCCAGGAGGATAAAGCTACAAGAAGCAAAAACACAATCAACCATCGTTATTGCAGACACCCACAGGACTGTGGATGACAAAAGTCCGTAAAAAAGGGAGGCAGGAGAATTTAGGCAAAAGAATCAGGGAGGAAAGGCAGCCTTCTGGAAACTGGAACAAAACCCTGTATAGAGCTTTAGTTATAATCAACAGTTTGGGTGGTTTCGGTTCTTTGTGGCCATACAGTGCCCAGAAAAAAGCTTGACCAGCTGCTAATGGCATTTTTCAGCAAAATCTCTGGGGCTACTGAGTTAACAATGGTAAAACAGAATGCTTTCACGCATGTATACTGACACCTTGCACCCTTCTCCTGCCCCCCCCCCCTCCCCCCCACTGTCCCCGTCTACCACTAGCAAGATAATCATAAATATTAAGATATGAATATGAGTGAACTCTGAAGTGGAATTGATTAAAGGGTGGACTTGGGGCTTGAACGTAAAAACATTTTCATGGATATGTTACGAGTCAAAATTAAATTCGGGTTAAAATTTTTAACCTAGGCTGATTCTCAATTTCCTTTGTCTCCTAGGCCTAAAATAATTCATGAATTAGGGCTGGGAGACAAAGAAAATAGAGAATCAGCCTGGGTTAAAAAATTTAAACCTAAATTAAACTTTGACCTGTGATACAATATAAGTAAAGCTTGAAAATACCTTCCACATTTTCTTTCCTGATAAAACAGCATTTGTTCCAGTCCAATTGTAGGGATCTATAACAACCATAACAATACTCTGTTTAAACATTATATAATTTTAAAAAATAGCTGTAACCTTATGAAAGAGCGGAACTACAAAAGAAAGTTGTCTTCTAGAATTTTAATACAGGATGACTTGATGGAAACATGTTCAACCAAGAGTTTTCAGCTCAACGAGCTGATATTATTGCTACTACTATTTTTTGGAAAAGAAAAAACTTTCAATGTAGCTTCAAACGTTGGGCTCCACCTTATTAAAAAAAGTGCGTTCTAGAGTACATCATAAACTGTGTACAAAAAGGATTAGATATCTCATGTTCTGAAGCTTTGGCAGATACACCTGACTTCCTGAACATCTTAAGTAACAAAAAGGTATTTTTGTTTAGTGACCTGTTGTCCCATTTTAGCCTCCTCCTTGCGGGCTTCACTGTCCTGTGATAGAGAAAAAGTGGGAAAATGGGGAGAGAACAGGGAGTGACACTGATGCCTGCCAAATATCGACAAGGTGATGACCTTCAGCACATGTTGGCTCGCGCATACAAATCCAATTTGTGTATGGGATAGTGGGAGAATTTTAAGAGACAAAGCCATATACCAGGACCTAGAGTAGTTTGTTAGTTTGTCCAAAGGAAAATGACGTTAGGAGAACTTATCCAGGATATTCATTCATCTGAGCCCTCCCGGACCAGCAAATAACGTATCTATTTTTCCTACTCATAAAATTTTCAGGAAAATTTTTTGACTTAAGCCTCCAACCTACCCACCTGTATGTGGGTTGATGTAATAGGCGATTGGTTGCAAACCCTAAAACCAACTTTTACAACAATGAAACTTTCTTCAGTATGAAGAAAGACTTGTGTGTCTTGGTAGACTAATCATTATCTTTTTTTTTATGTTTTCAAACATGGATAAAAGAACCAGCAAACTTGAGAAAACCACATAAAAAAGTTTGTAATAAAGATTTTCTCAGTTGGCAAAATGATTAGTTCAGTCCAGCGGGATCAAGTCTGCAGAGTATTAAAGAATCATATTTATTGATATGAGTCTTATTGCCCTGTTGAAATAATAGAAGGTGATGTCGGTCAGAAATGAAAGCATACAAACAAAGAAATGAATAGCCTGCATAACAGGCGCTTTATGAGCCAAGTGAGGCGAACTTGGCATTTTGGGTGAAGTGCGACAGCTAAAGGGTAAATCACGTTGTTTATTCAAACTTGTAAGCTAAATTAATCCATTGACAAAAAACTTTTGAAAAGTACAAAACTAGCGAGGCAAAAGACTGAATGTAAAATGACAGAATCTAGATTCTGACAGCAAACACGGAAAATGAAAATTTTGAATAAACAGTGTATAACAGCAAGATTGCAGTACTTACAGTGCACTCGCTTGTCTCCATGTCGGAATGTTAGAATGACAAAAAATTTTCTTAGGGGACTGGACTTATAATGATTAGTCGGACAAAAACCCCCAGGGGACTCCGGGTACTGTTACTGGTTCACAAGGGTGAAGGACCCGGAGGAGGCTAGTCCCACATAACCAGTGAAATTTTAAAAAAAGTCTTAAGGGAAATTTTGCCTTCGTACCCTCATGTTTGTGTGTCTCTGGGACAGAATCAAGAGCATAATACAAAAGCAAATGAAAAAAAAAAAACAACGCAGTGACACTACACACTCTACCTATGTGAAGAGATGATCGTGAATGAGCAGTGCCCCAAAGGAGCATAGCATTCCATGGACGGAGCTCCTTTGGTAACAACTGGAAGAAGTCTTCCTTCAGATAAACCTGGTATAATGAAATCAAAGAATATTCAACCTTTCACTGTTAAGGGAACAAAGTCAAAACTAAAACTAAACAAAATTACTAATAATATTAAATTTCGTTTTGTAAAATTCTGTAAAAACAAATAACAGCTTGTGAGAGTACTTAATACAAAAGAGGTTTCATTTGAAAGGTCACACCATAAGATTTTGTTCACAGACTCAAAAGTTAGAGTCATCTTACAGATCTCTATCATTCTCTGTGGCTGTGAAAATTATGGGCAAAAATGAGTTACATCCTGGCAGGGTTGGCACACTATTGACAGTCCCATTTAATAATAATGTAATTGTGTCACAGTAGTCACCCAAAATTAATATCTCAGGGAGTTTTCCCGACACCGTACTGGGGTAATCTGGGATTGAGTTCATGGTGAAGAAAAAGCATGTATGGTACCCTGCATCACTATCAGTATGAGTAGAGGTAACTGAACTACAGTCAACCTCCATGTCCAACAACTTCTCATGAAATTATCAGCAATTCAAAATACTAAAATAATTTTAACAATCAGAGTACCATAAGTTGGAGCCTCCTGAAAAGGAACAACTCCAGATTCCTTGAAGTCATTGAACAATTTTGGCGTTGAGAGTTTAATACCTTCCACACATTTTTACCTCCCCTAATCAACTCATCTAATTGATTCATTAAAAAACAAATAATTATTATCTTCATATGTTTTCACCCCTGGGGCCCCTTTCTCGAAAATCCCGGTAACTTTACGGGCCCGAAATCAAATATTCAAATCGAAATATAACGAATAAGAACGCGGGTCCCGGCTAGCAAACAACTCCATTTTGTTTCATTAACTGACAGTTTTATCACGTTAGGTACAAACTATTGAAACCTCGATCTTTAATGTAGACGGAGACAGCTTACCGGGCCCATTAATTATCGGGACTTTTGAGAAACGGGCTCCTGGGCCTAGCAAAAGCTTTCAATGGGCAGGCAAAATATTGTCTTGATAAGTAATAACCCAGTGAGTTTGTTCTGGTATCAATGAGGTGTTTGGGCCAGAAGACCTGAGGTTTTCAAAATGAGGTGGTCATACATTGTTAGGTTGGGTTGTATTGCAGTAGAATCTTGTTTGTACTTGAAAAACAGATGCTTAAGGTAGTCCCTTTGCACTGATTAATTTACACGCTACTAAGTTAAGCTTATCAAGTTCTGTCTGGTTTGTTTTACTCACAGGTTGGCCTAAATGTTTCTTTAATTCTGGGTTCATTTCAATAAATAGTTCATCTTCTAAATAGGTCCACAATTGAGGTTTGCCCTCATGTACATGTTGCGCAAACATCTTCAGTGGAACTGCAAATCCTTTAGCTGCATTCATAGGACCCTGGAAAAGAAATCACAAAAATGCAGAACATAAATTATAATATTATTATTAAACATGCTGCAAGTTCCCAGGAAGGGAGGCAAGGATTAGCATGCTAGACTAGAGAGATTAAGGGCCAATTATTTAACCCAAGTTTAGACAGTGTTTATGAAAGTCGTCTTCTAACCCATGCATAAACCATGAATACCACTTATTTAAACGTTGTTCTTCCTTAACCTTGTCTAGACCATGTCTAAATTCTGACTACAGGAACAATAGTAAGTTAGACCAGTTGCTCACAGGTAGGTTTAAATGTTGTTTAACGGTTTTTTCACAGTCATCCATTTTGAAATGGAAGAAATAAACTGCCCTACAGAAAAGGAGACTTTGCCAAAACTACGCAATATATATACATGTTCGACGAATTTGGCATCTTATGGTCAGATGTAACTCTTTGGAGGAATACAATAAAAAAGATTTTTGATTGAGTTTTCGCCTTAGAAAGGACTTGGCCATTGACAAGGGCAGATTGGCCGCTTACACCGAGGCAGCAAGTTCTTAATGCTTTAAGATTTTATACAAGAAAAACCTTCGAGCAGGTTATTGGCGATTTATTTGGTGTTTCTGTATTATTTTGCTGCATGCACAGTCGTTCACAAGGTTTCAAGAGCTACAGGTGTGTATCCTGAAAGAAAAGGACATTTCCTGTCATTCCCTGAGAACTTGGCTGATTCAAAGAGATGGTATTTATCATGTTGCGTACTTTTCAGTTGTGATCGGGGCCATCAAGTGTACTTATGTAAGGATAATATGTTCAAACTCTACAGAAAATGCTATGGGTCGTCCTCATGCGAGTTTGCACCTGTCAATGTAATGCCAACTGACAATCAATAACTGTAATATATATGATAAATTATCATGCAAAAGCAATTTTGGGGGCGTTCAAAAATTACATACTTCTGATACTTCTGGCCTGTGCATGATTTTCTGTGTCAGGCTACAATTGCTTTTTGAGTCATTCCACTTCGTAATATAGCATACTGGCAGCATGGACTCTGAAGGGTCTCTACTATGTATTAGTTGAACATAAGAGGACCCTTTTACACACACTACCAGATCAAGACAGAACCTCCACCTACACTTGCACCTATACAATACTGGTTAGTGATAAGTGTTGGGGCCTCATCTACTTTTACTTCCGAGACGAAGTTCCACAAACTGTTGCACCTTTTCAATTACCTGGAACAAACTACTTCAGCTTTTGTCACTTAACAAAGTTCTCTAATCATTGATCTTCCATGTTAAGTTCTTCTCTTAATTATTTATTTGTTCTATGCTCTGCCACAAATCTTTGAATGTCACAGGTATTACCAAGGACATGTTTCCAGAAGGACAGTAAAGTAATTTTTAGGTGTGCATGTATTAATCAGTTGGTCAAATTTCTGCCGGGAGTATTGTTACTGTACAATGCACACTTAACAGTTGTAAAGAGTGGTACATGTCATTTGTATATAAATAATAACATGGCAGTTAAGAAAATTAATAGTCACACCTACTATTCCTCACTCGAGAACTATAAGGGGAATAGGTACAAGCTTTTGGCATATTGATTTCTGGGATCGATTGGATCAGGAGAAACATTTATAGTTATTGGTTAATGGCTGCCTTGAATACCACTGACCAGGGTTCGCAAATACGCCAAATTTGGATTATTTTATGCCAAAATTGTTCAGATGACTCCACTGAGGTTACAGAGGGAGTCACTTCGACTCCAGAAATTTTCGGTACCAAACAGGGAGCCACTTCGACTCCAGAAATTTTTGGTAACAAAAACAGTTTTGTCCTTACCTTTTTCACGACAAATACAATTTACGTTAATTGTAAACGTTGTAAACCTTAATTAAATCATCGAAATTAAAGAATTATACTGCAAGAAAAAACAGGAAGAGGGTAAATTACGATCAAAGTTACTCGATGATCCCCAACATGGATTTGAGCTTTCCAGGTCAGCGGACCGCCACAGCTACTTTGTGTACCCCTCACGATAGTGCACACATGCCAGGACCACATGCTGGAAAGTCTGAAAATGGCTTTTTTGGTTGTGATACTTGACTCCAAATATTCCAAAATGAATCCAAAATTTGTGAAGCAGAAGTCACACTGACTCCACTCATCCATAAAATTTGCAAACCCTGCACTGACCAATCATAACTAACACTTGTCCACCCAAACGGTCCCTGAAATCACTGCATGCAAAGCTCATTCCCATTCTTCCTAGAGTTTCTGAAGTGGGGAATTAATAATTACTTCTAATGATATACATACACACAAACCTCTGTAGCTTTCATTGTCACTCTCTTGTCTCCATAGTTTTTGACAAGGAAAGACTTTGTCCAGTTGATAGCTTTCCAGTGTATAACCACATCAGTTATGAGTACTGGCCTAAAAATGAGATTATAGTTTATATGATGATAAAATAGAGTTCTAAAATGCGTCTGCTAAAATTGTGATTTGGAAGAAGGACAATTCTTATACCAGAAAGCTAAGAAAAATTCTGAGCTCAAGGTGAGAATCCAACTGATGACCCACAGCCCTTCGACTTCTAGTTTGGATGCTCTAACCACCGAGCTACTGAAGGCTCTAAGGCAAGCAGGGTTGAAATTTACACCAGTGAGTCATAGAGGACTGTATTGGGGACTTGCTCAAAATCGGCTGCCTACCAGCGTACAAGACCAACCCTGTACAATATAAAAGGAAGAAGGAGAATGCTTATACCAGAAAGCTCAGAAAAGAGAATCGAACTCAGGACCCTCAGAGTTCTGGTTCGGAAGCTCTAACCACTGAGCTACTGCAGGCTCTATGATGAACATGGTTGGGAGAGAAGGCAGCAAGTTATTTGAAGAGGGAAATACACACTTCTCACACTATTTTAACTCTAAAATCCTAAAAATAGACTGAGTAATAACATGCATAGGGCAGGTCACTACTATTACTACTATGTATGGCTGCCTGCAATCTTCCACGTTTACATGTAGTTTGCTTACTGAGAAGCATTTCTGAGCACCAGACTAACACAAAAAATTAGCTTTCACTTAAGAGCCAAAGTAGCCTGCTAGCAAGTTCTTTGGGGCACTCTGGCAGCGGGGCGAAATATGAGGGAGAGCTAGCAGTCACATCTCAGTGTGAATAAGAGATCCAATAACCAATCAGCATTTTGCATAGACTATTTCAAATTCCTAAGACATGATTGCAAGTTCTCCTTCCTTTTTTTCCCACTGCCAGAGTGCCCTGGATAGCTTACTGGCAGGCCTGAGCCAAAGAGGACACAGTTGTGGTCAACTTGTACAGTAAGACTGTTTAAAAGAGGAAGAGAAGAGGGGGAATTCAGGCATAGTATTAAACATATGAAAGTTGCCTTCCCTCCCCCTTGGCACATCCTTTATGTTCTCACATGCCCTTTTACATGTATGAATTTCAAAAACGGTTGTTTATCATAGTGAGGAGGAAGCCATATCCTGGTCGGTATTTTAAAGATTTATTTGTGACTGTTGAAGTCATTATGTCTGTGTTATATCACTGATTCAAGGCCACGTCACTGATCAGAATTTTACCCTAAGGGCCCCTCTTCAACTACCTACCATGCAGGCTAAATTGGAGGTATAATATGCACAATGTCATTTTCAGACACAAGATGATCAACAATGACTTTGCAAGGACAGATATTTTGTTTTCAGTTTGCTGGCTTTCTGGCTCTCAGCTTTGTTCCAGATGCCATTCCCCTTCTTACCTTATACATTTGACCAGTTACCAGTTTATTACCAAGCAGAGATCATGTTGCAATAGGCTATTGTATTTAATATCTATCCATAGCCTCCACTCCCCCTTCCCCTTCCTAGATATATAGAGGAAGAGTAAAAAATATGAAATTCTTTAGGGCTGAAGCTTTGATTTCCACGAAATTCCCCAGGGGGAGAACCATATTCTTCGGCAGTACACCCATATTCTTCAAGGGGTAGACCCATATTTCACAGAAGTCTTCATGGGAGAATGCAATTTAATTTAATCTTCAGGAGTGAGAAGAAAAGGTAAGTCATCAACTGAGGGGGGCGGGGAGGGATCGGACAGTAGCATCTCACCTCCCCAACTTCCCACACCTCACCTTGCTCCTCCCCCACTGACAAAAACCTACCCCCTCTTGTGTCCAGTAACCCTCTGAGCTAGGTTGTTCAAAGTTGGGTTAAGATAACCCAGGGTTAGTGCAAAATTTGAATTCAGATTTGAAAGCTTAAAAGTAAATTCAGTTTAATTATATATGTCAACAAGTTGATGACTGGATGCCCTTAAAAACAACAGAGAAAATTATCCTCGAAAATGCTTTGAACAAAAGAACAAGAAACCCGGTGTTAAATTTAACCCCGGGCTAAGTGCTAATCGGCCTTCGAATAACTGGGCCCTCGTGAATGCCTGTATTAGGAGGAAAATACCTTTTGGCATCATAGCATTGGACAAATTCCTCCAAGCTTAAATTTGACCGGCGATCAATAGACCACTCGTCTCCATCGTGACAGGGAAACTGAAGCTTTACATTTTCTTCACTGTCATGAAAAGCATTCTTTGAACTCAATGTCTGAGAGGACAGCAAGCTATCTTTGGAGTAAAACAACGCCATAATGCCCAACAATGCAAGAATGGTAAAAGAAGAATATTTCCAAAAACTTTGACTTGGAAAATTCTCATGGTTCGTAAAGGTTGTTTTATCGTTGTTGACTTCCTTGTTGCTCTGTCGCGAGATAGTAGAGTGTATTTTTTTCACCCGTTGTCGAACTGTTGTACCTTTGGCCATTGTTGTTGTGGAGAGTCCAGCGAAATAAGAGGCAATATGAGAAGTCCTTTTTGGTATCCGTATATGTTCTACTGATGAAAAACACGATTATTGGTTTCATGACACAGCTGTTTACAGCTTTGCATACACCGTATTCACAAATGGCGGACACGCGGGAAAAAACTGGTGCCTAGTCATGAAAGCGAGGCGTTGGAGGATAAACAAAAATTGCAAATGAAGACTTTCAGTGAACTTGCAGAGTGTTTAGCACGGATTCCACCAAAAATAACTTTGTACGGACTTCTTTTTAAATACAATTACGTGGGATGTCTTCTGCCTTTAATGTTTGGTAGTGATTTTCTGTTTGCAATCAAAAGGAACGCGTGTATCTTCAAGGAAACAGGATGATTTTGTAGGTTTCCGAAGCATCAGAAGCTTGACAAGTGGGCTATGGCTCGAGAAAAGCGGCAAAATGTTGGCCCAAACTTCACATTGAAACCGAGTACGAAAGCCAGATCACAACAATTCTGTAAAAAGGAAATAAAAACAGATATTGGTGGCGAGAAAAAGAGAAATAAGCGACGGATATATGGCCTACTTGTTAACGGAAGAGACCTCCGCCATTACACAAAACAGGTCAAGTCGAGAGCGGGTGAAAGATTCATTCACAAGGCTCATTTATTCATGTCAGTGTCATTTTATACATATCTATGTATATATGTATTTCTGCATTTACAACTTCCTTTGGATAATATTAATTCCGTCGCTTTGGAGTGTATTGTTGCTGAGGTACGTTGGCAGAGCTTAGTAAAAATCTTATGATTTCTTTGTCATTGCGAAATAATTAAAAATAATTTTATTAAAATTAGAAGCTGTACTGTGTGAATGGCTTCCTATTTGCCTGGTCTCCTTCAGGGCATTATCTCAGAGAGCTCTTGGTAAAAAAGTAGTATAAAGCTTACATTTTACTAGGTTAAACTTTTAAGGCAATGTTTGTGTCAGGAATGAACACGGCAAGCTTCTGTTTCGAATAATTAAATTCGAGTCTGGATCCGTTTAAGAAGAAGACCATCATTTTATTTATTTACGTATTCTTCAACTTTAAATTATTATGAAACATTAAGTTAAAAGTCTTAACAGCCAAAGATAAGAAATACGAAATTACTCGCTGAAATGATATGTGGCCGGCTTACCGAGTCTGCCGAGTAACATGTTGAAATTTTGAGCGTACTCCACTCGAACGCTCCTTTTTTTATATACTAAAAAAATAGTTCTAATTGATGTCCTTCATCGATTAAGACCAGAGAATAACGTCCTGGCAAACAAAAACCAAACATAACTTCATCGAAACCTCAGTCACCTCTACTTTCCTGTCTTCCTTTTTTCCATGTGTTTCAGTTCAACGGCAGACGTCTCTTGCGTTAACAAGTAGGCCATATATCTGTCGCTTATTTCTTTTTTTCTTGCCACCAAGATTTGTTTATATTTCTGTTTCACCGAATTGCAGTGAGCTGGCTTTCGTACTCGGTTTCAATGTGAAGTTTGGGCCAACATGTTTGCCGCTTTTCTCCGGCGATCGTCCACGAAACCTACAAAATCATCCTGTTTCCTTGAAGATATACGCGTCCCTTTTCATTGAAAACAGCAAATCACTACTAAACATTAAAAGCAGAAGACATCTCACGTAATTGTACTTAAAAAGAAGTCCGTACAAAGTTATTTTAGGTGGAATCCGTGCTAAACACTCTGCAAGTTCACTGAAAGTCTTCGTTTGTAATTTTTGTTTATCCTCCAACGCCTCGCTTTCATGACTAGGCACCAGCTTTTTCCCGCGTGTCCGCCATTTGTGAATACGGTGCATTGCTTTGCACAGCTTGCGGACGATTTTGCGGATGGCGCATACATCCTGGGATCTAGTCATGTGAGTAAATCCAAGACTACCGATTGGTTAATGCTATTTCCCGGCGAGCTCTATTTTCGCGCTTATTTTCGAACATGGCGGCACTGTAGTTTAACTCATTGAAAGTTTGTATCATCGCATCTCTGGTACTTGCGTTAGGATGCAAAGAGCCACTCGTATGAAACGCGAACTCGATATTTTGTCGAGAGAACCTCCTCCTGGAATCTCATGTTGGATTGTTGATGACCAAATTGACAAGCTTCAAGCAGGTTTTTTTTATTTCTTACACCTAAGGTTTCTGCTTCCCTCCAAACTGGGTGGTGCAACATGTTTACCAAGTGAATAGCAAGTTTCAAGTTACGTCACAAAGAACACAGCAATAATCCCTATCCCTTAAGCTTCACAGAATTGAACGACACAACAGTGCATGTAGTGACTTGGTATTTCGAGCATCACCCCCCAGTACAGGGAAAGACGAATTAAACCTCTGAATATTATGCTTGTTTAACTACCCGCTACATCCCCCTCGGGCATACCCCGTAAATATTCTATTTTTTTTTTCATAACCTACCTATTGGTCTATTCCCCTATGCTGGGGCGCATAGAAAGGGACAATTCCCAATACCGGGAACTGTTTGCAGTTATTCATAGCAGTGTTCCTATTTTGCTAAGAAAAAGCAAAAATGATGGAGCTACCGGTATATGAAGAAACATGCTATTTATGGACCTAGTCTGAGATTAGTTTCTGTTTTACATGAGAACGGTACAGTCTCAGATTGGTACGAAAGTAACTCATGTCGGGTCAGTGACCAGGACGAAGTCAGACTGGTCTGAGTTCATTTTTAGGCTTACCCCATGTAAACGCATGAAAAGAAATGTAGAAAATAAATGGAGATCAATACGAACTCATACCAGTCTGAGTTTGTCTTGGTCTCATGTAATTACCCCCTTAGTCCCTTGGTGTATGTCTGGTTGCCGAGTGGGTGTATTAGACTGTTTTTTTAGGGACTTTATTCTCTTTCCAGAAATTGTTGGTTCAGATGGAACTCCTTATGCTGGAGGTTCTTTCAGACTAGAAATACATCTCCCTGAGAGGTGAGTGTAATACTATAGTGTCAGCTTCTACTTCAAAAATTGGGAAAATCCTAATCAGGCCTTTTTGCAAGTATCAATAAAAAGGTGCCAAGAAATAATAACAAAGGTGGGTGTGCATGTAGTGCTAACTTAGAGATGAAAACACAAGAGTGAGAGTAAAATTGTTGCCCACTTAAAGTTCAGAGCAAACTTAAAACAACTCAGTGAGACTGAGTGTGATGTAATAATAGGCCACTTGCACTAAGAGGTCACGTGACCAATACATGTACTTCCTTCAAACAATGAGTTGGAATCTTGCTGATGCCAAAAATTGACAGAGCACATAAAAATTATCTTACACCCGCACATTTAGGGGATATATTTTGTGGCACTTTAATTTTTCAACAANTAGTCCCTTGGTGTATGTCTGGTTGCCGAGTGGGTGTATTAGACTGTTTTTTTAGGGACTTTATTCTCTTTCCAGAAATTGTTGGTTCAGATGGAACTCCTTATGCTGGAGGTTCTTTCAGACTAGAAATACATCTCCCTGAGAGGTGAGTGTAATACTATAGTGTCAGCTTCTACTTCAAAAATTGGGAAAATCCTAATCAGGCCTTTTTGCAAGTATCAATAAAAAGGTGCCAAGAAATAATAACAAAGGTGGGTGTGCATGTAGTGCTAACTTAGAGATGAAAACACAAGAGTGAGAGTAAAATTGTTGCCCACTTAAAGTTCAGAGCAAACTTAAAACAACTCAGTGAGACTGAGTGTGATGTAATAATAGGCCACTTGCACTAAGAGGTCACGTGACCAATACATGTACTTCCTTCAAACAATGAGTTGGAATCTTGCTGATGCCAAAAATTGACAGAGCACATAAAAATTATCTTACACCCGCACATTTAGGGGATATATTTTGTGGCACTTTAATTTTTCAACAAAGTAGTATGTTTTGTACAGAATTTCGCACATTCTTGAAAAGTCCTTGAATTTTAGGGGAAGTCCTTGAAAAGTCCTTGAATTCCATTTTTCCTTGAAAAGTCCTTAAATTTAGCATTGGTCTAGTAATTTTACAGTGCTTTTGCTGATGTCAATCATTTATCCCATGTTGCCTTTGTGCTACGTGCAGTAGCTTTTTAACTTAGCTGTTTTTGTGCCCAGCCCTCCCTTCCATCTGGATGTCCTTTGGTAAGTATCTGTGATACTCTCCACTGAGGTCAAACTCAGTGTGAAAGCGCCTGGCGGTTGCCACCTCAGGATCATCATGGTTACCTTCCTGGATCACTAAATGTTTTGCAACTCACTCAATTTGACTAGGCACCTTCCCCACGCCAAACTATTGTGGATGGGTTTAACAAAAGCTGCACTTTATGCATTGCATGATGTGGGTAGCAAGTGCAACATTGTAAACCCTCAATGGTAATGGTAAATGAAAGATTGTTTGTATCATTCATTCATTCGTTCAATCAGGCTGCCTCAGCTGAGCTTGTTGCCCGGCCACCCAGTCCACTCTATACGCCACTTTCACATTTCCCATAATGCACCTTACTTGCCCCCCGAAATTTTGCATAACCTTTGTTTTTCATTTCTCCTGAGTATTACAGCCATCCCCAGAGAAATTGAAAACAATGCTCATGTAAAATTTTGAGGGCAAATAAGGTGCATGATGGGAAATGTGGAAGTGGCATATTGCCCATGCAGGTTGAGAGTTGGCTAGTGGATGCTGCCCCAGTGTCCCTTATCAGAGTGTCTATGAATAAAAGACACTAGGCAACCGCGTCAACCATGTCCGTGTGTATCATTCATTGCTTTTTTAAAATGAATTCATTATCTGCAGGTATCCATTCTATCCTCCAAAAGTGAAGTTTGTAACAAAAATCTACCACCCCAATATTGATGGCAATGGGCGTATTTGCCTTGACACCCTTCAAATGCCTCCCAAGGTAAGTTACACAAAAAACTGTAAAAACATGCTTAGTAAGGAACATCAGTCTGAAAAGATTTTAACTTGATACAAAAATGTATCTTACTGTAGTAGTCATCATAGCTTTGAAACCTTTTTTGAGAAACTATATGTTTTAAGAAAAAAAAAACAATCACTGGCTTTAATAAGCTTCAACAAAGTAAACACAGACATGAAGTATTTCAATGTTGCAAACTGGACAGTAATTTTGGTATTGAGTCAAATCCGTATCTTACTTGCATGTACGTGTAAGCTGTGACTTTCTCTTTAAAGTACTTATAATAAGATTTTTTTGTTGTTGTTAATTCTTAAATATGTGTAGATATGTATCCGACATTTAAATTTGTCAAAAATCTTGCAAAATTTATTTTTTGTCTCCAAAACACTGCAGATTTTCTCCAAAATGTCTGCCCTACTGCATTGCCAAATTAGTTAGTATGATGTATAAAGATCTGCAAGAATGTAGAATGATTTACAAAATGGCGGCAAATAGGATTGTTATTGTCTACAACTCCCCAATCATCTTCAGAATCTGCATTAACTTTGCTATACTTTTGTTACAGTCAGGTTATTCCTTAATTCGACAAAACAAACAAAAAATTACCAGAATCAGAAGCAAAGGCTGAGCAAATCAACATGATGTCATCAGCCTTATTCTTTGATCCTTTACTCATTCACAGTCTCTGTGACATTTTGGAAGAAGAAAAAGCAGACAAAATTACAGAAAATTTTAGGAGACACATTTTAAAGTTCAAAATCGTTAATTAAACTTATCTAAGTATCAAAGTCAGTTTGACAAAAATTGGTGTCATATACACTTAAAAATAAAGTGTACCATTAATGCAAGGTCATATTTTGTTTATTTTTTCATGGGAAATTCTTTTATTTTTCTTGTACAAAATATAATACATCATTTAAGTTGTTTACTTAATTTTGTTAGGGAGCGTGGAAGCCAGCTTTGAACATATCAACAGTGCTAACGTCAATACAGCTTCTGATGGCAGAACCAAATCCTGATGATCCACTTGTGGCAGAAATTGTAATTATAATATTGTTACTTTGTACATCAGTGGCTTTCATTTCTTGTGATATGACATGCGTTATTAGCGATCACATAATATTTAACTTATCAACTGTAATATCAACACATAATACTATTATTTGCAATCAGTATACATAGTGTATCATGTTTGTCACATGACCCAAGACTCTCACAAGTCTGTAGCTCAGTGGTAGAGCATTTGGGCTGATAGTCAGAAGCTCATAGGTTTGACTTCTGCTAGAAAAATTCAAATTTTTTCTGAGTCACCTGCATCACTGACTGTAGTAACATAATTCTCATATTCTTGAGGCTCAAATTCACCATAATTGTGGTTTTAAAAAATACCACTGGATATGTGCTTGACTAGCAGTATAGTCATAATGACTGTCTCCTGTTGTGCAGACATTTTGCCTAGTAACCTGAAAGTCTTTGGTTTGACTTATGTTGGGCGAACTTGGACTTCTTTTTTTTCTTGTTGCCTGAGTGTGTGACTGGAAAAAAAACATCTTGGTCAGAACTTCTTTTTACATAATTTTTCCTATTGCCCAATTGAGCAGAACTTATTTAAAGTCGCTATAAACCCTGAAAACAAAGAAATACATCTGATTATAAGCCTCCATTCAAATACATTCATTAATGGCAGTTTAATGTCGCTTTCTCTGCAGTCTGAGGAATTCAAATTCAACAGACCTCAATTTCTTCAAAAAGCAAAGGAGTGGACTCAAAAATATGCAACAGGCCATAAGATATCTGCAGCTGCATCAGTGAAGGTAGTAAATACAGCTGTAGTTCAGCAACTTGTGTTATTAACAGAATTTGTTTACATTTGATTTTGCTATCAAACATTGCCCTCACCTCTTAAATGAAATGAGTAAAGTAACTATGTTACATACAGAAACTCTTTGCTTAAATAACAGTTATGGAACAGACTATGTTTATTCAAAATGGGGTATCTATTAGATCATTATTTACAGTTAGTTGCCTGAATGCTGAAGGGATGCCTCTCTCCAGACTAAGCCCAGACTAATGTCTTTCTATACTGTGATCAGGTTACAGGATTCAAAAAATATATATATATATTCCAGCTTGTCCTCTGGGCAAGCCGTTCTCCATTTTGCTTTCCCAGGGCCACTTCCTGCTCATCTTAGTTAAAGATTTTGTTTGAGGATAAATTAATTACCTGGACTCTTGCCCTTTGGTCAAGTAAGCTATAAAACTTAGTTACCTAGCAAGAAAACCTGCTTGTCCCGGACTACCAGATGGGACTTTTTTCGAGTCCTGAGGCTATAGAGGATCTCTTAGAGACAGCAAGACAATGCCCATATTATAATTGTCAGAAACTGAAAGCAACAAGTTCTCTTTGAATAAGCAGATAATCAGATTTTTTCCTGGCAGAGACCCCTGTGGTTCGACGTTTCAGTCTCATAAGCAACTTCCTTCCCAAGGAGATCAGTATTGGCTTTTGGTTGGTGGCTTATGCAAAGTTAAACTGTATTCAGTAAGTTGTTTTTTTTTTCTCTATGTAGGGCTCTTTAGTTGGCCAAAGAGGTAATGAAGAGAGCAGCAGTGATTCAGAGGAGGCCAGTAGTGACGAAGAAAATGCTGAAAATAATCCCCGTGTTTGCCGCACCCAGGGTACCAAGAGAGGCTCTTCTGCACGCCTCCCTAGTGAATGCAAAATTCTGAAACAAGCTAATGCATAATTCATGATTAATTAAGAAATGATAGTGATATTGTAAATAATTATTGTAGATTATGATCAAAATGAAAAGAAAGAACCTCTTTGATTTGATCCCAATAATTATATAACCAAGGATAAGATTAGTGCGGTTCTTCTTAGGATTTTGAAAAGACGTGGCTTACAACGGAAGGATAGAGGTAAAAACTTAAAACTATTTTGTCAAAACGAGTGGCAGTTGGAGAAAGCCAAACGAAATTGATACAAGTCCGCAGCTTAAAGATCTGGGTTCTTTCTTCAAAGAAGCTGAGTATGTGGTATCCTTTCTATCTTGAAAATAACGATGATGTTAAGGACACGTCTCTTGCAGAGGATAATGAGGAACATTTTTGTGCCGTACTAAAATGTATGTTGTGTTTCTGTTGCTGAAGAATTGTACGACTATTAATAAATGATTTTGTTCCAATCGATTGCACCAACTGAAAATAATCTTGCAGTGAAAATTAGGAGAAGGTGATCACTATAAAAAGAAATAAATCCAAAACAATGCTGTTTTCAGGGGCACCCAACGACGGTTTCCTCCTAAAGACATTAAAACACTTTTTAGGCTATCCAGAGTACTTTTAGATCTCTAGGAACTGCATTTTAAGCGGCGCTATAAAATCTGGACCTATTCAGTCATCCTAGGGGAGCTTGAGTCTTTTCGAAATTACAAGGGCTTAAGTATTATTTTACCGAATATTTTAGATGCAATGTAACGTATTACGAAAGTGAGATTTTTTCTGTTTCCTCTCTCCATCACATTTTTGAATCCGAAAATTTTGGGTTTTCTTTTTTCTACAAAAACAGCCTAACCTGGGGAGTGAAATGTGAAATATCAAACTTAAGAAAATCGTAGGGAATTTATTAGATAAGTTTCGAAAAAGTTAACGTGAATTTAATGGCCATCTAGAAATTTTTAGCCCTCCTCAAGCTATAGAAAATTCTAGGCAATATTTGCTTCTGCGGAAAGATATTTTACAGAAGACAGTTGTTGGGTGCCCTGTATTTTCACTTGCTTTAGTTACAATTGTGTCTTCCCTTGATACTACGTAGCGGTTAAACAGATGGGACGTGAACGTGATTGAAAATATTCATTCTTCGAAGCTGACTGAAAGCTGAATTTATGTTGATATTAAAACTGGCGTCTCCGTGGCCTGCGAGTCACCCGAGGTGACTCCTGGGCTCATGACGTCCCTTAGGCCAGGTTCAGACGCCGTACTTTTCATGTGCCGAACCTAACTGAATGAAGTTCGACTTTGGAGCGACACTGGCGCGACATCTGATTCAGACGGCGTACCGCGTGTCGAACCTAAGTTAAGTTCGACAAAAGTTCGACAGACTCTGTCGAACTTGACGCTTTTGCCGCACCAAACTAAAACTGCCGTACCAAATTGATTCAGACGCCGCTCTTTTGCCGTACTTCATTCATCAGTTAGGTCGGCACATGAGTGGAGCGGCGTCTGAACTGGGTCTTAATGTCCGATGGTGTTTGGATCTTTCGTTGCAACAAGTGAATTCGGCTCAATAATTGTCAATTTATCTGTGACACCATATTTGTGTGGAAAGTGAATTAATATGTTCAGACGAAACTCTGCCACCGAATTTCACCTCTAAAACCCCGCATTTTCATACCCTTATTATAGGCCTTCGAGGCCAAACCTTAAGTCCGATTCAAAGAACTACTTCTATATAATGTGAAGTATATATGAAATAATTCATTTTTGAAGCCCTGATTTTTTTTTCAGGCTTCTTCTTTCCAATTGCTTAAATTGGAAAAATTTACTGCGATGATTATTCTTCACCTTCCTTCTCAGGGGCGGATCCAGGGGGAGGGTGCAGGGGGTGCGCACCCCCCCCCCCGGGATGACCTGCGGCCGCTTTCTAATTAACACTGTGCAGTCGCTTGACAGACATACAAAATCTGCTCTATCG